CCCGCGAGCGCCGCGGACGTACTCGCCCTTCCCACGGCGGCGCCGCTCAACGAGCAGGGCGGCAGGGCGCGCACCCGACATCCTCCGCCTATAGGGCGGGGAGAGCGCTGGCGACGCCGCTATAGGAGGCCTCGCGGCCGCGTTCGGCCAGCACCAGTTCGCCATCGGCGCGAATGCAGGCACCGAGCTGCTGGCGCATGCTGTCCAGGCACTGACAGAGGCGAGCCCGGACCTGGTCTCGGCGGCGCTGGGCGCGCAGCAAGCCTGCGCGACCGCGCGCCGCGAGGTCCGCCTGGGCGAAGTGGGGCAGGCGGCGCCAGAGCCCCCTCCTCCGCAGACCTCTTCTGCGGGCGCCGCTCTCAGTAGTACTTCTGGGGCGCAGGCGGAGACTGCAACCGCCTGGGCTCCGCGCGCGGCGTGGGCCAGGGGGGCCCGCTGGCGCCTTCCTTTTCGCCCGCGGTCTCCGCTTCCCCCTGCAGGCTCTCGGAGACACCCCGCATGGCAAGGGCGGCCGCCCTCGGCCTGCAGGTGCACGATGTCCGCGTCTCGGCCCATCTCGTCGACGCGGCCGCCCTGGCGCCGCAGGCCCTGCCTGGCAAGCGAGGTCGAGGCGACTGCGGGGGCCGCCCCAGGGCCACTGGGGCCCGAACGGCAGGGGCGCAAGTCGCAGACCTGGACTCCAGGGCTGGAAGCACGCCGGCGCGCTGACGGCGCCGCGCTGCCGGGCGCCCCGCTCCCGCGGGGGGCCGCTGCCGCCGGGCAACCTCCCGGACGAGAGCGACCGGCGCCGCTTGGGCCTGGGCAGCGACGCCTGCGCCGCGGGCCGTGGCGCGCCGCGCCGAGACCGTCGAGGAGAGGCGGCGCCGTTGCAGACGCTCGCGCAACTCCCCCGCGCGCGCCCCCGCACCTCCCGCTGACCCAGGCGGCGCTCCTCCGGCGCTGCGACGCGGGCAAGCTGACGCAATTGCTCCGCGCCTGCCTGCCTGCCTGCTCACGGGGCGCGGCTTCGGCCTACGACGGCGCGCTCCTCGAGGCCTAACGGGCGGGAACTGGCGCGGCTGGGCCCGCGGGCGCCCGAGCAGCGCGCGCAGCGCCGCCTGCCGCTCCGGCTGCGCGGCCGAGCTCCCGCCTGCTGCCCGAGCCGCTTCTTGGGCGCAAAGCCTCGCGGGCGTCCGAGAGCGCGCGGGGTTGGCGGAGCTGCGTGGCCGACCTGGATACCTCTGGCCTGCCCCTTGTCGCAGCCTGTTGGGGGGCGCCGACCGCGCCCGCGGGGTGCTGTTCAGGCCCCGCGGCCTGGCAGCTGCCGGCCCCGGAGGAGGGGCCGCTGCTCCCTTGGCGGCAGTTCACCCAAAAACCGCAGGGGCAAATCTAAAAGAGACCTGGGCCAGCGGCTCGGAACGCAGACTACCGCGCCACCGCCCAGGGCCCTGCTGGGGCAGGACTGCGCGCCCGCGGGCAGCCGCTGCTGCAACCGACCGCGCGCCAGCGAACGGGTGGGGTAGTGCTAGCTGCGGCTGGCCGCTTGGGCGAGAGGCGCGGCGCGCCTTCCGCTGCGCCTGCGGGGGCGGCGCCATGACGCGCGGCCGGGATGGCGAGGACGTGCAGGGCCACATCCACCAGGAGTGCAGTTTCCGCGCGGCCTGGCAGATCCCCGCCCCGGATCGCGCCGCAACTGCTGCGCCGCGCGCGGCCGCGCGGACGCCCCGCCTGGCGTCACCTGCAGCGCCTGCGGGGCGCCGCTCGAGGTCGAGTGCGAGGAGGCCCTCCCTGACTTAGGGGGACATGGCGGCGACTGCCCCCAGTTGCTTGCTGGCGGACGTCACCGCCCGTCACAGCGTGCCGGGGGACGCCCGCTCCCTGACGGCGGCCACGGATGCCGACGGCGCAATCGCCGCCGAGGGGGGGGCGGGCGAGCGCCGGTGCCACTCTGAGCGGCGGGACACTTGGCCGTTGCTTGCGCTGACCCAGGAGAGGGCGCAAGCCGCCTGGGCCCAGCGGCCCTGCGCCACATGCGCTGGCTCGCCCGGGACAGGGCCTATGCGCTGGGGGGCGGGTCCGAGGCCGAGGCGGTCGCAAGCTCGCTGGCGCGCCGCTGGGGCGCCACTCTGAGCTGCGCGCTCCACCGCGCCACAGCGTGGCAGCTGCGGACGTTCTCCGGGCTCGAGCACGCCGAGGAGGCCACAGCCCATCTAGCCGCCGAGCTCGCCGGCTAGGCGGCCGCTGGGCCCGCCGGCGGCGCTAGGCCGACGCTGACTACCGATTCGTCCTGCTGATCTACGCTTTGCTCGCGCTCCCGGATGCGAGCGGGCGCTATGCTCCGCTGCCGCAGGCGGAGGCAGCGGACGAGGAGAGGGGGGAGGAGGAGGAGGAGGAGGAGGAGGAGAGGAGGAGGAGGAGGAGGAGGAGGAGGAGGAGGGAGGAGGAGGAGGAGGAGGAGGAGGAGGAGGAGGAGGAGGAGGAGGAGGAGGAGGAGAAAGAGGAGGGGCAGGACGAGGAGGAGGAGGAGGAGGAGGAGGAGGAGGAGGAGGAGGAGGGGAGTTGACCCCCTGCGAGGGTGGTCTTCCCGCGACCCCGCCCGCGCTTCCCCGACGCGCCGCCGGCTTTGGCGCGGGGCGTCCCCGCCCTCCTGCCGCTGCGGGTGCTGCTGCAGCCTCTTTCTCTGGCTTCGGGTCGGCCCTCACGGTAAAGCGCTGTGCTGCAGCTCGGACGGCGTGGAGGACCGCCAGAACTACATCCTTAGAGGGGGATGTTTTCCAAACGTTCGGTGCAGCTCAGTTGCGCCGTCGTCCTCAGCGGATTCAGGCTGATGCTGCGGAGTGGGAAACAGAGACTCTGATGAAGAACTCCTCCATGACTCCGCACATGCAAGCAGGTTGGCATGTACAAAACATGTGTTCGGATGAGTTCGAACACTCGGTGCCCGTGTCACGGTGGACAGCGCGGAGGACAGCAATAACTGCACAATTTGGAATGGACATGCGTGCGGTAATCGACCCCCGTCTTTCGGACGTGTTGTGGGTTGGTGTTGTGGCATTCCCGCTTGCCACGCCCCGACCAATGGCATTTACGTGCTTGATGGGTTTACGAAGCAGCGTTCTTAAGTTTGATGTTTGAATGTTCGCTTGACTTGCATGTTTACCTAGATTTCTGATTGTAAAGAGTAGCGACCGAGCGTCCATGCCAATGCACAATCACAAGCTTTCAGAGGTCCGCGCCGAGTTTTTGGACCAGCGCGCTGGCCAGGGCACTTGGGGCGGCCCATCTTTGACGTGGGCGTTACTGCTGGTGGGGATGTCGGGTGATGGGGAGAGACGCAGCATTCGAATCAAAAGACTTGCGCGAACATCATTTTCGAAAGGAGCGCTCCGCGCGGCAGGGGGGGAGTTGATTGTTTTGGAGTGCTGTGCTACTGGGATTGGGCTGTACTATCGGGAGTTGTAGTATTGGGGCTGTACTGGTGCGTGCTGTAGTAGTGGGGCCGTACGGCTGGGGCTGTACTGCTGGAGGTTCTACTACTGTTGCCACGACAACATAAAGCAATAGAAATCATAGTATGAATAACGAGAGAACACATATAAAAGGAATGATGACGCACACACGGTTTTGTCAACCTTCCGGGGGGGGGGCAGCGCCGCTCCAAGAAGTAATCCGCGCGGACCTCCGACAGCTTTTTGCCGATGGCTCTTCTTCTGACTGCGCTACAGCTCGGACTGGCAGTGTTCAGGAGGGAAGAAAGGCACAGACACAATTAATCGGCGACTCCCCAGAAGATAATCGAAAATATGGGGGATCATGCTACTTGTGTCTATTTATTTGTGTGTCCCTAGGCCCCTTCAAGTGAGGGGGGGGGGGCAGTGCCCCCCCCCGTTCGGGCCCCGCTTGCGACTGGCCCCTGTCGCCTGAGCAGAGCAGTCCCGCGGCACGGTCCGCCATCTCCGCCTCATCACCTTCGTCTTCGTCGCTGTTGTCCTCCCATTCATCCTGGCTTATGATGTTCCAACTTATTTTAGCCCTGACTACCAGCAAGAATTCCGATCACCAAAAAAGTGCAGAATTTCGAAGGTTTTCGCGTGTCGAGCCCTGGGAGACACTCGTCCGACACTGCTTCGACACTCTTTCGTCACTTTTCCAGGTGCTGGAATTTATTCTTGGGATGTGGTCCCTAAGTATGATGGGAGCAACATAATTCCTGGCCCTCTTCTTGCGTGCCCCCTCACCGCGTTCGTGGGCTGAGGCTGGTGAGAGCTCGGCAGCGAGGGGCTGCCCAAATCACTGCTGGGCGGGTCAGGGGGCTTAGTAACTGGATCCCCTGGATCTAAACGTTGTATATGTATATTATAAGCAGATTATAAGTACACTAACCAGCGTATATCGTACCTACATGTTGTATAACTAGTTGTGGAGTCCCTCTGGTAGTTAGGCCACATAGGCTATGCAGCTTAGGCGGGTTGGGGGCTTTGTATCCTACTTAGCGTATTCTCATGTTGGACATAGAAGTGATTAGCGATGTTGGATCGAAGAGGATGTAAGTAGGGCGTATCCAACTTACTAAGTTGAGTTACCAAGTTGGTTAAGGCTGGTTGGGTGGTTGGCTGGAGTGCGTTTCCTGAAAGTATGGTTCCCGATCGGCGTCGGAGGAGACCGCACTGTTTCTTGCAGTGGCGCGAGCGTCGCCGTTGGCTTTCGTGGATTATCGATTTGGTGATGCGAAATGTTGATTCCCAGATTTGCAATTCAGAGCGCGTCGCCCCCGCCGTATTTCTCAAACCATATAGGGTGGATGCTGTAGGGGGGGGTGCATGGTGGCCCTTACGAGCGCCCTCGGAGTCGTGCCCCAACGGGTGTTCAGACATACAATAACAACAACAACAACTTGAATAACCCAATGGCTCCCCTGTTCAGAGGCGTTGTGGCTCGAGCATTTTGCTTGAGGCAGTTTTTTTCGGTCAGTGCCGACAGGCCCTCTGTGAGCAAGCATGCCGATGCATCAGAGCTTGCAGGCCGTGCTGACGGATATGCACGCGGCGCTCGCGGAGGTGTGCGCGAGGTACCAGAACTCTGACAACGCGGAGGCACCTCAGCAGAAGGCCGCCGCCGACCAGATGATCCAATTATTATTGGACAAACAATTGGCTTACCGTTTGAAGGCCGAGCCAGACGAAGTCGGAGTTCACCCTGATAATCGGTATGGGGTTGGAGTGGAGTGGTATGAGGTCCACACGTTGGCGGGCATCATCATTCGTGGAGGGTGGAGTTGGTCTGAGGTGAAGGACCCCATCGCGATTGAGATCGCGCAAGGTGCGGCTGGCGACGAACAGCTCCGCTTCAACGAGGGGCTCGCCGCCAGCAGCGAGGGCTACTTGGCCAAGGTCCCGGCCGTCGTGAAGATACTGAGCATCGCGTGCAGCCACACCAACCAGGTGCTCCGCTGCATCAAGCACAAGACGAAGTCCCACGAGATGGAGTTCACCAACGACGACCAGCACCTCAGCCAGGACAGTGTTCGATTGCTGCAGCAGCATCAGGGCCCCAGTGGCAGAGGGATTGACTTGGATTGTGATCCGCGCCGAAGTAGTGGAGCTTGTACCTGACATGCCGAGTTTTCTGTCGGAGTCACACAACATAGGACATGGCGCCAGTCGTCTTCAAAGCAAGCTGCAGACCTTGCTGCAGGTGCACGCAAAGGGGAAGCGGAACAAGCAGATCCACGGCGATCCGAAGTGGAATTTCGTGACAAGGGGCATTGAGCGCACGAGGCCGTTCTTGCAAGGGCAGGTGCAGTTCATGACGGAGTACGTCCAGAACTACAGCGGCGGCGACCCGCCCACGTTTTTGACCGAGCTGAAGCACTACGCCAAGACCTTGGACACGGTTCGGGACGTCGGCAGCGTGACGTTCCACGTGCTTGGGGCCGCCAAGCTCACACAGGTTCCCGAGCTCATCACCAACATGATGAAGGCATCGTTGTGCGCGCCAGATAGCTTCGCGAGGCCTGACGGTGTTCGCTTGTTTACGAGCGCGGACGTCATGGCCGTGGAGTCGGGGAAGCTTCGTGAGTCCGCCTTCGAGTCTGTGAACATGCGCCGCCTTGCCGTCCAGTGCCTCTCGGACTGCGGCTTAACCAATGCCCACCTCGCGACCAAGCTCATCGGGGACTTCGACGTGAAGATGGCCATGAAGGTATTCGGGAAGCAGAAAAAGGGGCGGAAGATCTACGGCAGCCTCGGGGAGATCGGGCGGGACTTCGTCAAGGGCGTCGTGGCCAAGTGGCCGCATGCGAGGTCGACCCCAGCACCGTGGGGCGTCGCGGCGGCAGAGGCGCAGGAGGAGCCTACGGCAGCGCCCTCCGACTTCGTCCAGTACGACGTCGGCAGCGGCGCCGCGCCCATCTTGCGCTCGAACGTCTTGGAGGCCACGGGTTTCGAGGTCGACGCCGTGGTCAAGTGCGTCCGCGGCCGTCACGAGGGCGAGTGGGTGATCAAGGGGATCGGCGAGAAGGTCTGCGCGCCCTTCTTCCCTCCGCCACGCCGTCGTCGTCGCCGTCGCCGTCGACGCCGCCGCCGCCGTCGTCGTCGTCGTCGTCGCCGCTGGCTTTTTAAACCAGTGTTTTCCGTCGTCGGCGTCGCCCCCGCCGTCGTCGTCGTCGTCGTCGCCGTCCTCGTCGTCTGAGGGAATGTCTGCCCTCCCCGCGGAGGCAGAAATTCCCTCGCCCTCCGCCGCCCCTCAGGTCAAGCTGGCCCCTCGGGGGCCCGTCGCGACAGCTGGCCCCGCCGAGAAGCGCGCGAAGGCCATGGAGTTCGCCGTCAGCATCGGCCAGCTCGCCGACGACTTCGAGTTGGTCAAGGCCACGGACACGACTACCATCAACGTGAGCGGCGATGCAGCGCTCGACCTGCTGAACATGGAGAACGCCCTCGAGAATAGGCGCGCCTGGTTCAGGGTCGCGCTGAACTGCGCCTACAGGGAGAGGATCAGCAGCGTCAACGTGGCCATCGAGTTCAGCAAGAGCTCGAAGGTTTGCAAGGTCCTGACCAAATACCAGAAGGGCGAGCTTGTCCTCATCCCGCTTACGCCATCAATCTCGATTGGGCCGAGGCCGACGCCGAACGCGATCGTGGTGGACGACTCGATGCCAGACCACAAGAGCATTATGTACCTGATGTCCAAGAACATCCTGCCCGACAGCGACGCCTGCAAGGACGGGTGGCCTTTCATCGTTCCATTTTGGAACGTTCCGACGCGCGTGGATACAGCCCTCGTCAACATGGCGCCATCTTCTATCAAGGTGCCTTTCGAAGTGCGCAGCTGCGCCTTGAACTTCGGTAAGTCAGACTGCAAGACGATTACGATCACCACGCTCGTGAACACGAAGGCGCTGAAGGAGGGCTCCGAGCTGTTCCAGAAGGCGCCTGCGCAGGCCGCCCTCAAGGGGCAGGCGCGCAAGTGATTTGCTATCGTTTCTTGCCGCGAGGTCCCTGCGCCCCGCGAGCCGTGCGATCAGAGCATCCGCAGTTTCGAGTGAACGGCGAGGCCGATATTTATGACGAGTTCGGTTGTCACACATGTTATGCAACGCGGTGGCTCTGATCCACGTTAGTGTTGAGATCACGTGGGCACGTGGGCGTCGCTCGGCGCAAGTTGGCCCGACGCTGCGGTGAGCCCGAAGCTGTTTTCGCAAGCGACCTTTGCCTGATGCGCAACTATCGGGTGCAGTTGTGTACATATCAGGTGTTCGGTCGGTCTCGTCGGCCGACGGCGTGACGCTGCGAGGATGCAAAGTTGCGGAGATAAACGCGCCTCGCCCCGCGCGCGAGGAGAGTAAGGGGCCCTCTTGGGCCTAGCGGATTTCGACATTCATGTCGAAATCCATTTGGCCCTCTTTGGGCCCTCTTGGGGCCCTCTCGGGAGCCCTCCTGGAGCCTTCTGGGGGCCCTCTTGGGGCCCTCTTGGGGGCCCCCCGACCCCTGCCCCGCCATGCCACGACGTCGAAGTTGGGTTGGTTGCGCAGTGCGCTTGTTCAAATGCAATCGTTTCGCTCGAGACATCCTCGCGACGTGCCGTCTGAGGGCACCGTTATGGATAGTTGCCTTCGCCCTCGTCGTCGTCGCCCTCGTCGTCGTCGTCCTCGCCGTCGATGGGGGAGAGGGGAGCGCTGGAAGAGGAGGGCTCGCAGGGCGAGGAGTCGGGGGACGAGGAGGAGGGAGGAGGGGCCGCCCCGCCCGCGCGCGGCCGCCGCCCCGCCGTATTTCGACTACCCCTTCATTGCGCAGGCCGACGCCCCGCGACCTTTCTGCTGGGAGTCGCTCGGTTCCCCCCCTCGCGCTTCCCCCCCCGTCCTCCGCGGCGGCGACGGCGGCGACGGCGACGACGGCGAACAACAGAAAACCCCGACTTAAACAGCCAAGGGGGGCGGCCCGACCAGGGGGGATCACAAGCTCAAAAAGCTATCGGAAACCATGGTTTAAAAGCATGCGGAGCCCCCATCCCCCTCTTCCACGTAATTTGGGTCCTGATCGACTGCGGCGACGACGGCGAAAGGTGGAAAAAAACCCGGCTTAAACAGCCGAGGGGGCGGCCCGACCAGGGGGGATCACAAGCTTAAAAACCATCGGAAACCTTGGTTTAAAAGCATGCGGAGCCCCCTCCTCCTCCTCCTCGTCATCCTCCTCCTCCCCCTCCTCCAAACATATGGAAAAGCAAATATTTGGAAACAGCTGTTTCAAGAGATGTGGTCCTGATTGCTCGCCGTGTCGCTCCAAGCTGAGCCATGATCGACAGCCGTTCAGTAAGTTGGTGGGAGGCATTCCCCTCATGAAACCACAGTTCGCTTCTGCCGATGCTGCCCCCCCATCTCATCCGTTGCCATTTTTTGTTCAAGTCCGTTTCTGGCCATAGCCCATCGGTCAAAGCCAGCCTGCGACGCCCTTCTTGCGAGGGCTGCTCATGGCCCCCATCTCAATTCAGGCTGGATACGTCTGCGTGTCGAAGGGTGGGAGTCCTCCTTCGCCGTCGAGCTCTTGGGTGGCTAATACCATCGAGATAGGCGGCAGGACCTACGCGTATTGCGACAGGTCAGATGCCAAGTTCGCGAAGTTCTGCAACCGCGACTTCAGCATGATGGATGCGCTCACTGACGCGCGGAACAAGATCGTTTTGCAGAAGATGGCAGCCGTCGGTCGAGATGAGTTTGCTGAGGCGGATGCTGAGCCTGTGTTGAAGCGTCCCCGCAGGGAGTTGGTGGACGACATCGACCCGATCTTGGACGTGACAGTTCAGTGCAGGGATGGATCAGAGGTATCGTGCAAAGTTTTGTCTTGTGCCTCTGAGCGGGCCAGGTTGGCCATCGAGTTGTCGCCAGATTCCTTGGACATCCTGCTCAAGCAGCCTGCAATTACGGACTGCGACTTCGAGCCGCCCATGGTGCAGGAAAAGCACGTCCAGTGGCTCTCATGCAGGCACGCGCTGAGGACCAAGTATTTCGCTAACGGCAAGTGGAAGCAGAAATCAGTTCAGGTTCCGAAAGTTGGCGACCTCCAATCACACGTGAACAGGATCGCCGCTGAGCTGGAGAAGCACTACTGCGACAACCACGCCGAGCCACACGAGGACACCACCGACGCTGACGAGTGAGTCGTTTTGGCGATGCGAGGCAGAGCAACTTTCGATGCAGAGTGTTAGGGTTTCGGCGCTCTGTGTTTAGCGCCGCGCATGCCAGGGGAATGCGATGCGTACGCGCGTTGCACTTGCAAGTGTGAGTAGCCCGTGTTTTAGATGCTGCTGAGATGATATACTGCACGGGGTTGGCAGTCCATGTCTGTCTGCAGCGGCGCTCGGGACTCGCAGCCTGGCGTTGGAGTTTATGCTTGCGCCGTGCGAAACAGCTCAAAGGGTCAGCAAGTCTCCGCTATATTCACATGGCATAGGGACGCCAACATATGCGCATGTATCTATACATGTATCATGAAAACAGCCAGCATCACACAATCACGCACTCACGCGCGCTCAGCATCATCACGTAAATGGCTCAGTCCACGAGGTCGCTCAGTTCGCCGCGTGGCGAAGCTCAGATGCACCAACCCCTCAGGGGAGGTTGGTGCATATGCACCAACCTCTCAGGGCAGTCTGGTGCACTGCACCAGCATTTCCTGGAGGGTTGGTGCATATGCACCAACCTCCCCTGGGGGGTTGGTGCATCTGAGGCCCGCGTGGGGGTCCTTGGACGTTCGAGCCGCTTGGCGCTGATTTGGCCCTCGTCTGGCGGCGTTTGCCGATGACGTCGCGTCGTTTCGTGGACGATCGAGGGCCCCTGGGAGCGGCCCGAGGGTTCGGGGAGGCCGGCCTCACAATCGAGATCGGAGCTGCGCTGCCCGTCGGCACGGGCGCGGCAGGGGGAGCGGGAGGGGGACTAGGAGGGAAACGGATGGGGACATTTGCTCTCGTGGAGGGTGTGGTTGAGTAATCACAGCCACCTCGGAGCGCGCGTGGAGCCGCTCACGCGCGCGGTATCCCCGCGCTGCCCTCGCCTCTCAGCCCCTCTCTCCATCTGCCCCCTCCGCTTCCAACTGCCCGCCCCCCCATCCCCATAGGCCGTTTTGGCTCAAGCTTTTGCTTTGCTCCTGTCTGCCTGTCTGCTTCGACGAGCCTTCTCGCCATGGAGTTCGAAGCCCAGCGCCTCTGCGAGATCGCGCAGCAGCGCCTGTCGTTCGTGGCCGCGCAGGTCGGCGCGGGGATGCCAGAGTCCGTCTTGCTGCAGGCTCAGGCGAACTCGCTCGTGGCAACGTTCTCTGCCTCGCAGGCCGTCACCATGACGGTGGCCACCCAGGTAACAGGCCACATCACTCGCGGCCCTTGGACGGCCGATCAGAAGCTCCAGTTGGCGACGGCCCTCAACGATGCAGCTGCCGCTCGCGAACTTCAGCGGAGGGGGCCTGCGCGGTGCCAGCAGTTATGCCTCGAGGTGCACACCTTCCTGACGCAGTCCGACTGGGCCGCCTTGTGTGACCCCATGCAGTCCGAGCTGGCCAAGGCCAATGTGGTCGGCACGCGCATGTGGAGGTGCGGAATCACTTGCCCCGCTGAGAAGACTCTGATGGCTGCTGGCGCCGTCATCTTGTGTTCCCACTACTCGGACGTCTCGGCGATCAGCGGTGACCATAAGCGCAAGACCTGCGAGAACGTGCAGAGCGTGATCAAGTCCATCGACAAGACCAAGGCCTACCCGCACGCGCACAGACCTCGCTACACCACGCCAGCAGGACTGGATGCTGGCTCCTTCAGGTTCGCGTACCCTGACCCCTCTGACCCGCCAGTTGCTTGCCCAGCCGAGGTCGACGTCACCAAGATCACCATGTGCTACAGGAACACAGCGAACGAGCGCAGGGCAAGCAGCGCCCCACCCACGGTGCCCGCCAGGCCCGCGTTTGCCAGCTCGGGCGATCAGCCGCCAGCAATGCAGTTGGCTCTTCCACGTGCGGATCGGCCTCAGTATCAGTGCCCCTTGCAGCTCCTGGCAAGCCTGGCTACACAGGCGCTCGGCCAAGGTGGTTTCGATGCGCTTCAGCCCTTGGCCAACCAGTTCGGCCTTAACTTTCAGCCGCAGATGTTTCAGCAGCCAGCCGCGCCGCCATACTTCATCGCGCGCCCGCCGTCGGCCGCGGCGGCTGCGGCTGGGGCGGCTGATCTGCCTGCCCAGGCGGTCTCGGCAGGGGGGCCCACGGCCCCCCATCACCCGCCCGTGGACCCCGATGATGAGCTCCTCGAGCTGGAGCAGAGCATGGTCGACGCCGCGAAGGCCAAGAAGAAGAGGGACGCAGCCGCGGCCCGTGCGGGCACGGCCAAGGGCAAGGGCAAGGGCAAGGGCAAGGGCAAGGGCAAGGCCAAAGCCAAGGCCAAGGCCAAGCCTGCGGGCAAGGCCAAGGCCAAGGCCGAGGCCGCAGCTGACCCGCAGCCTGCTGCAGGCTCATGGGCACGACGACGGAGGAGGTGGAGGAGGTGGATGAGGAGGAGTAGGAGGAGGGCAAGGGAGGACTCGAGAGGAGGCGGAGGTGGATGGTTGAAATCCATGCCCCATGGGATGCCTCCTCCCGTCTCGCCGTCACCCCGCCTCTCCTTGCTTCCCCCCCGCCACCACCGTGGGCCCGTGCGAGGCAGTGCGAAGAAGGCCAAGCGCACGGTGGACTACTCCCAGTGGTTGAAGCCCCACGACGCCAAGGGTACCACCCGCGGCGCCTACACGAGCAGGGCGTACGACAACGCCAAGCTCTTGGCATCCAGCTACGGCCACAGCGACGACGCGATCGTGAAGATCGCCCGCAAGGCATACTCGGATGCCGCCGACGTTTGGGGCAAAGCGAACAAGGCGGGTGGCAGGAAGTAAGGCCTTGTACAGCAGGCCCTCCTCTCTTGACCCTCGCCATAACGGCGAGACGTGCTTGCCCCTTTGCTCGCGCCTGCGCCGTCTTACTTACACTATGTGGTTCTGTGTGCAGTAGGTGCAGATAGCGAGCATCCGCAGGCATGCTTCAGGCAGCTGCTCGCATGTAAAACACGAGCGGCTCCAGACACGCAGATTGGACCCCAGGCCATCACTGCGCGAGTGCGAATAGAAGCTTCATCGGTACCGTCGCCACCGCCATCATCGCCATCAGCGCTGCTATGCAGCGCCGTGCTATGTCATGCTACATTACATGTACAATGGCCGGCAATGCTACGCTATGCGACTCAGCTCAACGCCATGGTACATGCTATGATATGCTATGCCATGCTATGCGATTCAGCTATGGTCGGCAATGCAATGCGACGCTATGCCATTAGGTGCAAGGCTTGCTTTGCACTGCATTGCGCATCGTGGAATTGGCACGGCCATGCATGGCATAGTATTGCCCCTTCCCCTCCTCCTCCCCGCTCGCCCGTCCACCTCCCCCTCGTGCCTAACGCCAGGGCAAGTGTTGCGCGGGGCCATTCGGTGCTGACAGGGGGTTCGGAAAAGCCGGCTTTTTTTGATGGTTTTTGCAGGCTCGCATGTCGGGGTGCACCCCCTCCCCCAATCGGTCGGGCTTTTGCGGGGCGCTCGAGGCGTTCCCGAGATCACGACGCATGGCGCGCTACAACGAAGCCGTTTTGGCTCAAGCCGATGACGGAAGTCAAGAGGCGCAGACTTGCTCACCTCGGCCGCGACGCTCGCGTGAGCGCCAGCGGGTTGGAACACCTTCTCAGACAGCTTCGGGATGAGGGCGGGGTGATCCCCGCAGCATTCTCATCTTCAAGCCAACGGCGGGCGAGGCAGTCAGTGGCTTTCCAGAGCACCACGTTCGGGAAGTTGATTCAGCAGCGGTCCGTCCCAAGCAAGACGGTCGGCAAGCCCGTCCAATTGTTCTTCCAGCATCCTTTTGCTTTCTTGGAGGCCGCGTGCAAGACTTGCGCGGAGTTTCGGGCCATCCTGACGAGGGTGTTGGACGACTCCAACAACCGTGTATCCATCTGTTTATACACGGACGAGATTACGCCTGGTCAGGCTTTGCAGCCGCACAACACCAGGAAGACACAAGCGGTCTATTGGACCCTGAAAGAGTTCGGGTTCCCCATCTTGAGATGCGAGCTGGCCTGGGTGACCATCTGCGCGCCGAGGACGGACACCGTGGCGGAGCTTCGTGGTGGAATGGCGGAGCTGTTTCGGTATGCGGTCAAGTTTTTCTTCGGGGGGCCGAGCGGCCACGACTTGCGCAACGGCATCTCCCTGTTCATCGAGGGTGAAAATTCTCCTCGGCTCGTGACGGGATGCATGGGGATGCTCGTCCAGGACGAGCGCGGCCACAAGTTTTCGACGGGGGTCAAAGGATCTGGCGGGATCAAGATCTGTGCCCTTTGCAAAAACATCGCAGCGTTCAAGTGCACGTACCTGCCCGACCCCACTGGCTTCCTCACCCCGTCGACGGAGCTCGACGTTTCGTTGTCCAGGTTGCGTTCGGACGAAGGGGTGAAGGCGATCCAGAGGAGATTGCATGACGTGGCGACGAACGGCACGAAGAGCGAGTTGGAATATTTGGAAACGTTGCTCGGATTTAACTACATACCGACTGGGCTGTTGCAGGATTCCGATATCGATTTCAAGTTAACCAGTTGTTGGTGCTATGACTGGATGCATTGCTACTGCATCGACGGTACGCTCGCAAAGGAGGTGCCAGCGTTTGTGGGACGGCTCGGTGACCACGGTTTGGGAGGCGATGTTATCGACAGATATCTTCAAGTATGGCACTGGCCCAACGCGTACGCCCACGCCAAGCCCGTCTGCCGCAAGCACGCTGACCATTCGCCGACTGGCTCGGCGTCCGAGCTGCTGTCCTTCTGCCCCGTGTTGGCGCAGTATGTGGAGGCCGTCGTGATGAGGAAGGGCGTGTGCGTTGCAGAATCGGCCAGCTTTCTTGCCCTGGCTCGCGTGATGGAGTTGTTGACCATTGTGAACAGCGGCGGCGTTAGGGCCGAGGAGCTCGCAAGGGCCATACACGGCCATCTGACGCTGCACCAGGCGGCGTACGGTTTCACTATGTGGAAAGCGAAGGAGCACTACTTGCTACACATACCGTCCATTCTAGATCTCCACGGCATGATCATATCGACCTTCATGCACGAACGCAAGCACCGCGTTCTGAAGAGGGTCATGACACCCAGGCACAGTTTGACTTCTTTCGACCGCTCGGTTCTAGAAGAGGTCACAGTACAGCACCTCTACGATTTAGACCGCCACGCAATCGATCGGCCAACTCTGATAAATTTGAAATTGCCAAGCAAGAGGGCCATGTCTGCGTTTTTGAAAGCTTTTCCTTTTGCACAGGGTTGCCAAGTTCACATGGCGAACTCCGCATACGCCCAGGGTAGAGTAGTACAGTGTAGGGACGTCTGTACTCTGTTGGGGGAGGATGGGCTCGTTTGGTTTGGTAAGGTGCAGTTCTTCTGCACCGTCGGCGGATGGCTCGGGTGCTGCGTGTCCCAGTGGCCGATTGTAAATCCGGCGGGCGGGTGCGCGAAGTGCACCGTGGGGGATCACGGAATTTTAGTGCCCTTCCATCACTTACAGGAGCCGTGCGTTTTCAAAGAGGCCGCAGTGGGCCAGGTTGCCAGTATAATATTGCCTCCGAAGCTTAAGCATTCGGGGGCTCGTCTTCGCAGCGTGTGAACACTTGATGAAGCGTGTGGGGCGTACACACTTCAGACAGCACTGAAAATCGTCAAGGGCTTGCGCCCGTCCCCCGCCGCCCAGCAAACTCCTGCTCCTCCTCCCCCTCCTCGCCTGCCTCTCCTCCCCCTTGTCTTCCTCGCCTCTCCTCCCTCTCCTCCCTCTCCTCCCCCTTTTGTCTCCCCTCTCTTCCCTCTCATCCCCTTCCTCCTGCTCTTCCTTTCCCCACCTCCTTCATGGGGCCCCGCTGGGACTCTGTTGGTACCCCGTGGGCCTTCTTGGGGCCATCTTGAGGCCGTCTTGGCCCCCCTTTCTGGGACCCCTTGGGATCCCTTCCTGGTCTCGTCAGGGCTGGCGCCCCCCCCGCCACCCCGCACTTTCCTATATCATCGAGGCTCGCGCTTCCCCGCCGAACCCGAGTGTTCTTATACCTGCAGGGCTGACGCCCTGTCCGCTGCCCCGCGTCCCCGCCCTTAGAGAGCGAAGCGTTACGGTGAACACCGAGTGTTCATATCCATGCGTAACCAAATTAGCGCGGCTCGCTAACCACATAGCTTGGTTACTTAACTTGCTTCGTAACTTGATTATAGGTCGGTTCTAACATGGTGCTGCTAACCTCGCTTTCTTAAGTCGGGTAACTGGTTAGTATGCAGCATACAAGTAAGCCAAGCACTAAGTAAGTGCAGTGGCGCGCCCAGTGGGCCGCTGCTCCTTCCTTGAAGGCCTGTCGAAGTGCCCCCCGCATCTGCAATCCCGCCAGCCGGCGACCTGGACGATGACGGAGTGCGCAGTTGGAAGCAGTAGGCATTGCCGTGTTTGCATGAGGGGGGCGGGCCTGCCATCGTTGAAGAAGGGCACTCGTTTGATTGAATCAGATCCCGGACTGATTTCATATAAATCAAGCTTGTGTGACGCATTGCGTACGTGCTCTCCTCCTCTTCCTCCTGCTCCTCCTCCTCTTCCTCCTCCTCCTCCTCCTCCTGCTCCTCCTCCTCCTGCTCCTCCTCCTCCTCCTCCTCCTCCTCCTCCTCCTCCTCCTCCTCATACCAGAGCGCAAGCAGAGGTTGGCATGACGTTCCCATACCATGCCGAGGATGAGCGGAGGCACCCCGCTGTACCGGCCCACGGCCATCGGCAGGGAGGAGGCCTTGAAGAGCTCGCCCACCTACGAGGCCTGGCTGCCATGCATTCCTTTTTTGCAAAAGGAGGAGGAGGAGGAGGAGGAGGAGGAGGAGGACCTACGAACACCCCCGCACAGGTTCACGCACGCGCGAGGAAGCAGCTCTGTCTCGGCGTCGCTCGGGCGTGTGCACGTTGGGGGGCGAGGGCCATCGAGGACCGTCCTGGGCTTCCTGGCGAACAACATGCGCACGACATAGAAAAATCGTACGGGGAGTGGACGTCCGAGCGAAGGCGAGCTCTTCGCACCTGGTGGGCAGCTCGGTGCGCACGTGCCCGGCGATCGCCGCCACTCGTGTGTCGGTCCCCCCTGCACACCGCATGGAGTGGCAGTGTGCTCACCAGAGAGACATCATGCTGACATTCGCGTCCCGTCTGCTTTTCTGACAGCGCGTGATCTGTAAGTGTTCGTGGGCTGAGCACATCTATGCTTGCCGTTCTAGGGCGCTCTACACTTGCTCACAGTGATTAGTCCTTATCGTTATATTTTGGTCGTGCTGACTGGTTGTTTCAGCATTGACATGCTATTGTTGGCTCGTGGTCTTTCAGCATAGTTGTTATATTGCGTCTGTTGGTTGCCATGCCTATTCCGGTCTTATGTGATGTGCGTCTCTCTGAGCAGCTTGTCTGTAAGGGGTCTATATGTCTGTCCTAAGAGACTAGTCGGTGGACTGCCGGATCCAGAGCCGGGGGAGCGACGTGCGCCTCGGCGCTATGGGCGCGGCTTCCTGCTGCGTCGCGCTCGGTCAGCGCGCGCCGGACAAAAAAAACGCATCTCACGGACTGCTAGAACAGGGCTAGGATCGGGATGAATCGCTCAAGAGCGTTCTGGAGCGCTCTCAGAGCGGTCCAGAACGCTCTGGAGCGGCCGCGGCGCCCAACACATTCTCCAAACCCGCCGATTCTCAGAGATTTCGAGTTATCCCGATCCGATTTTGTCCCGATCTTCGCGTCGTTTTAACTGCTGGATCCAGAATCGTAGCTGCGACGTTGCCTCCCACTGCTTCCCGCTGCCTCCTGTCGCCTCCCACTGCTGCCCGCGGCCTCTCCCGTTGCCTGCCGTGGCGCCCGCGTCACCCGTGGATCTCGCCTGGTCTTCTCAGAAGCTGACAGGTGCGATGCCAGATCTGGAGTCCGGCCGGCGACAAGTCATACGGGGCGTGAAAACGACCACAGCCACTGTTTTTTTTTTGTTGCCGCCTTCCAGCCCGCAGAAACAAAGCAGTGGTTGTGGTCATTTTCATTGAGCTTGGCACCCAGGAAATGACCACAGCCACTGCTTCTTTTTCGGCCAGCTGGAAGGCGGCGCAAACAAGAAGCAGTGGCTGTGGTCATTTTCCCGTCCCGCAATTCATTCGGGGGTGGACAGACCTCCTACCCTGACACGTCGATGAAGGAATTGGCCGTTTTCGGTTCGCGAGAGGGCGTCGCGGCCGTCATTTTTGCGGGTCCGGGTCCGTCGGTTTCGGTCCCAGGCCGTTTTCCTTAAGGGGAGGTCTATTAAAGGGAGGTTTGTCCACCGCCGATTCATGCTCGGGTTTGCTCGTTGTTGGTTCTCACTACGCGTCTATGTCAACAAAGTTTGCGCAACTCCCGTGACCACTATGCAAACGGTACGTTTGTCATCAGATTGCGCGTGTGGCTCATGCATGCTTTGTTTGGTTTTGCGCCGCGTTTCATTTCAATATGTCGTACAGGGTTTCGTTTCAGAACGCCCGCTTGGTTTTGATTCAAAGCAAGTGCTTCATCAGTTGGCGCGAAGGAAGTTCTAATGTTCAATATGTGCGTTGTGTTGCCACAGCCAGGCACGACATATTCCATGCGAAGCACCGACGTGTAAGCCCGTGCAGTTGCACTGTAAGTTCACCAGCGTCACCGTACAGATCGCGCATGCCATTCCTAAAGACATCGCTTCTACGCAAGAAGCACATGGCCCGATACGTGTGTAGATACGCATGTCTTCCAAGCCGTGTGTCTTATTAGCACAGTAAGCGCAGCAGTCACGCGTTGCCATGTCGCGGTGCGTGTATGTGTGTGTGTGTGTGTGTGCGTGCGAGTGTGTGTGTGTGTGTGTGAAAACGCGTGTGTGTGTGTGTGTGTGTGTGTGTGCGTGGGTACGTGCGTGCGTGCGTGTGTGCGTGCGTGCGTGCATTCGTGCGCGCGTGAGTGTGTGTGTGTGTGCGTGTGTGTGCGCGCGTGTGTGTGTGTGTGCGCGCGTGTTTAACATATGTACGTCCCGCCATGGGGAGTTATCCACGACGCACGGGGGAAGTAATTTTAAGCGCCAATCTCAATGAGCCACTGACATCTCCAGGAGGATCCATGCTCACAGCAGGCACGCACGGGTGTACACCGCACGTGAGTTTGCACGCGCATGTTGGAGGAGCCGCGTTTGGGATCGTTGGACAAGTCCCACTCGGTGTCAAGACGTCGCACGTCCAGTTCTGGTTCACATGAGTGCGCCACCTGAGGATCGTAGATGCACGGTCGAGCATGCGATAGAGAACCCCCCTCCCGAAAAGTTGGCCAGCGTTGCTTAACCAACTTGCCAGAGAGCTGGCCAGGTTTCTTGAACACGTTCGCCCCTCCAGCGCTACCACGAAACATGGGCCCAGTTTTATTTCAAGCAACTTCAGGAACACTGATTCAGTTTTCTGAATTTCGAATTTGGGGGGTCGCATTTTCGTCTGTTGGCCAGCGCGACATTGCGTTGCCGAACATACACCACACGAGCGTCTCGTGAGAACGCATCCTCAGGGGTCTCCGCCCAGAGCAGGAGTCACCTCCGCTCGCCAGCCATACCGCAAACAAGCGGCTGTCAACGTACAACGTTCATCGTACACAGAGTGCAAGGCCCATTTCTATCCGATCGATCCGGTTAGGTATCCATTCGGGTTGGTTTGATCCGATTCGATTATGATTTTTGGACGATCCGATGCGGCTGATACTTTGCATGGCGCTGTTGTGCATCCTGGGGAAGCCGATCCAGTTCGAATTCGACTTCATAGGCTTACGCCACATCCGCCGACCCCTTACCTGAGTTCAAGGGTTTGATGGTATTTTTCGATGTTTGGAGGCTTCTTGGGGCGGAAGGCTCGAATTTTCGGTTCAGGGTTCCCCTCTTGGGTCCGTGTTGGGGCCAGCTTGGAGGCTTCTTTGGCCGGTCATGGGGCCTCTTGAGCCGTCTTGGCGGTTTCTTTGGCCGTCGCGGGGGTCTCTTGGGCCGTCTTAGACCCTTCTTGGGTGCTTTTTGGCCCGTCTCGGCAGGAGCACTGAAGCGCCAAACAAGAGAGCGAGCACTTCACGATAATGACTACAGTTGTATGCGCAGATTGCATTGCCGACGGGTTCACGTCGCGCAGTCGGCAGGCCTTTCAGTGCAGTGGCAAGTGCCAGAGGAACTTGCCGAAGTCGGCTTTCCCCGTGGACGCGGGCCATGTCGCGCGTGACGAGAAGAAGGGCACTTTGAAATGCAAGGCATGGAAATGATACCAGTAGGGCGACGTGCCATGGCCCGTAGAAGTAGGAGCAGCGGGGGTGCGAGCGAGAGGGAGGACGAATCCGATGAAAAGAGGAACGCAAAGAAGGTAAAAGCGGAGGAGGAGGAGGAGCAGGGGGAAGATGGGGGAGAGGCGGAAGGGGAGTCAAAGAAGAGGAGGAGGAGGAAGAGGAGGAGGAGGATGAGCCACGATCTGGTCTTGAGGCGTCACGGGGGCGTCTTGGAGGTAGTGTATGGGCCTCTTGGGGATTGTCCGGGAGCCTGTTGGGAGCCTTTTGGGCCTCGCTCGGGGCTCCCTGGGGCCCTCTTGGGAGGTTCTTGCAGCAGGATGAGGGGATCTCGGAGCCAAAGGACCAAACGGTTGCCCTCTGGGCTCCCTCTTGGAGCCGTCCGGAGGCCCTCTTGGGCCGTTTTGGGCGCTTCTTGGGCCGTCTTTGGGCCTTCTTGGACCTCCCCCGGCAGTTGCCGAGGCCGTCCTGGGAGGATATGGAAGGTTCCATAGCCCGTGCCGGACGTTCCGAAACCGCAAGAGGCCAACCTGGGTAAACCAAGTAAGTTAAAAAAATGTTGTGCGAAGGGAATGAGACGATGTCTGCTTCTTGGGGCTCGCTTGGGACGCCTCTTAAGGGCCTCTTGGGTCGTCTTGGGGGTTTCGGTGGCTGTCTGGAAACCATCGTAGGCGCCTTGGAAGGATATTTCGGCGACTCACGCCGACTCACGCCTCACGCCGATGTTTTCAAGGAGTCGCCGACCCCACACCCAGTAGTGCGCACATTTGGTGCATAAAAAGGAATTCGGCAGCGAAGGCAGACGTACTGAATCCCAGGGTGGCCGCGCGCAAGCATAATTGGCAACACATGGCAATCTGACTCACCAGCTGCTGTCCGCCAAGGTCAGGAGAGCTGTACAGGCAGTCATCTAGAACGGCACCGAGCCCGTCCCATCCCCCAGACCGACCCACAGATTCCTACGGCGGCGTCCTGGAAGAAACCATAGACATGATAACGTTTGTTGTTGTCCTTTTGCGCCGATTTGTATTCTTCCTGGCGAACTTGGCTTGGTTTGTCTAGCGTCTTTCCGTTTCACATCATCGTGCCAGCCAGGTGCGGTGAGATGTGACGATCATTCCCTGTCCTTCTGAGAATGAGTTTGGAGGCGTCTTTCCATGCATAATGAGTTTGGGAACGTCTCGGCCGGGAAATCAGGTCGGAGTTCAGTTCGGCGCTGCGAGCGAGCGACGGTTGCCACATCCGAGTGGCCGCTCTCCCCCCTCGACTTGGCATCGCTCGGACGCGTGTCATTTTCTCCAGGCGAGGACCATCGAGGAGCATCCTGGATCATTTTGCGACAAAAAGCACGCACGAAACCGACACGTGCACAGAGAACCGACGTCCGAGCGATGGCAATCCAGACAAAAAACATGGCGCCCTGCACCGGGCGGAGAGCCTCTTTACCACCACCGCCCAGTATCCGGGGGGGCGATGCGCACCCCGGAGGTTTTGCGCGCCGTGGGTATCTCCAGGGAGGTGGACCGTCTTTGGGGGGTAGGATTCTGTCGTGCATGTCCCTCAACAGGAGGAATATTCAAAAACAGTAAGAAATAGTCTAGGGACTATTGTTTCATTTATTTGTCTAGATTTTTTTTGAATTTGTTTGGCGGTTTTTCATTTGTCCTTCAAAACCCGCTTGCAGGAGGACTTGTTGGCCGACCTCAGGGTAGGACCTGTGAGTGATCGCAGAGGCTGATGTTGTGTCTTTGTCGCTGCCTTCTGTCATGTCGCCTTTCACCATGGCATGAGACAGCCCAGGATTCGCTAGGGACTGGTTTCCCCCGCCAAAACGATGAGAATCCTTCCCAAACCCTTCCGAAACCCTCCGAGAAGCCTCCCGGAACCCTCCCCAGAGGGTTTCGCAAGAGTTTCGAAAGGGGTCCGGCTGTTTTGAGATGAAACCAGTGCCCAGCGAACCTAGGACTTTTTAACCATAGCACTTTCGCGGGTGCCGCAGCAGTTTTGGTTTGGACTGCATTGGTTGTGGCTCGGGCAGGGCCTGCAGGATGGTATCTATTCCATTATGGGCGGCTACAATCTGCTTTGCGTGCTACTCGATGGAGACGTTATCTTGTTTCAATGGCGTGCCTCCGCAATTGTGCAATCCCGTGCCTACTCGCTACTTTGGCCGCCTGGTCTTCTTGACCGTTCAGACTAACATATTGAATACTATGTATTTTGCTTGTTGCATTATTACTGCCGTCCTTGATATCCCTCACCTTGAGAAGGTCGTGGTCGAGGCTTTCCCCCTATCCTTTGGCTTGGGCGTCTTCCTCACAATTGGGTATTACGCGTTGGATCACTTCAATCCTATAGCGGTGCAGACGAGGAAGAAGTGGTCTGAGGAGGGGTACCCGCATATTGTGTGGAGATGCCACACTGACCACATTTTCGCTTTGCCATCTTCGATTTTGGCCGCACTCGTATTCACGACACCGCAGGGCGCGACTGCATCCAACTGGAAAGCAATCACATTGTCGTATGGACTCCTCTACACGGTGTTGTTGCACATCAATGCGCTTCTTACTGGGGCATGGCCATATGCGATCATCGAAGATATTATGAAGAAGTCGGGGAGTTTGGGGCGCACGATGTTCCTCGCAGTGATAATCTCGTTGATACTTATGTTTGCAACGCTCGGCCATTGGATCGCAGGCTGAAGTATCTGATCGGTGCGACAAAAATCGCAGTGCAGATGCGGGGAGTGCTTCCAGCTTGAGGGCGGTCAGGGGGTCTGCGCTGGATGGGCCATGAGAAAATCGGTCGAGAAGGAGGGGTGAGGCTAAATCAAATCAAAATCGGTCCCCTGACTCTTCCCTCAGGGGGTCTGCGCTGGATGGGCCATGAGAAAATCGGTCGAGAGGGAGGGATGAGGCTAAATCGAATCAAAATCGGTCCCCGGACTCCTCCTGGGGTCAAAACCGACCAGTTTTTCAAGCCGCGTCCAGCCGTGGCGACGAGAGGGCTCCGTGTTCCCTCTTCCTTGCCGTCTGGAGCCACTGCTGGGCCACCTCGGCCCCCCAGCCGGCACTAAGCGGAGAGGGGCGTTCTCCAGCATTGTCCCCCGCTCGGTGCCGGTACGCGTGGCATTGCTGGTTGCGCGTGCGCGCACGGGTAGGAGAGGCTCTGCGCACAGTGCCGTTGTGTTCGAAAATCGCTCACCCCTGTGCGCCTCCTCCTCCTCCTCCTCCTCCTCCTCCTCCTCCTCCTCCTCCTCCTCCTCCTAGTAGAGGGTCCCACCTTGCCCTCGTTGCACCTCGGGGCGAGCAAGGGTTCGAACCTCGTTTTACCAGGCTGCGAGTTTCCTCACCCCGTCGCTCAGTGGCGGGGTCCTCGTCGTCTTCTTCTTCCCTCTCCGCCTTCACACGTTCACAGGCGTGCGTTGCAAGTGAGAAGCGCAGGGGGACCGAGCTTGCTTCGTCGGTCTGCGCTGCCGGAGAAGATCCAGGGTCCGGCCTTCTTCACCGGCGTCCCAGCAGCAGCAGCAGCGACGTGAGGCACGTTATGTCGGCGAGGTAACCGACGTGGGACCGGGATGACTATAGACGAGGGACCCTGGGGGCGGCGACGTGGGACCCGGATGACTAAACGAGAGCCCCTGGGGGCGGCTCTACAAATTTTCTCCCGCCTCTCCCCACTCGGAGGCCTGGGCCCAAGAAGGGGGCGGGCTTCGGAAGCTCCCTTCCCTGCACGCCTGCATGCTAGTACTGTACCAGTACTGTTCTCTTTGCTCCTTGGCCTAGTTCGAAACGCTGGCGCGTCTCTCTCTCCTGCTCCTCCGCTTCCTCCACCTTCCCCTCCTCCTCCCCCCGTCTTGAACCTCTTCGTGCGCAGAGGAATCCCTGTGCACCGCTTCCGTGGCATTCGGGCCGACACCGACAAATCGAGCGAACCCTCAGTTTGTCCTTCCTTGGGTAACCCCACCCCCCGCACCCAACGCGTCGAATTCGGAGGCCCTGGAGGGCGAACGTGCACAAGAAATTGGGCCAGCTTTCCGGTAAGCTGGCCACAAAACGCTGGCCCAGCTTCTGGGGAGGAGGCTTCTTCATCAGATGTTCGACTGTATGCCGTGGTGAGTGCCCCCCTGGGGACACCCTCTCGCCTACTGGCTGAGGGCCGCTCTGAGCATGTGCCCTTGATACGGTAGAGGGAAACAATTACTGAACACTCCCCCTCCCCCCCAACCTCAATATTGGCACGCGCGGGGGACACTGCGGTCGAAGTGCATCTCATCAGACCCACAGCCAACTTTGAACATTGGGGGGAGGGGGAGCCGTTGACAGATGAATGTGGCATGAGTGTTCGCTAATTTGTTCCGAGGCCTGTACTCGTCGGTCTGTTGAGGGAAATGCCAGAGCTCCACGCAGGGGTGCAGTGCGCGCAGCACGTGCCTGGCCGTGTGCACCCCGAGCGCGGAGCCGAGCCGAGCCCTCTTGCTGCGCGGTTCGTGCGCCGCGCGTCCCCGGCGGCGAGCGCGCGCCTGCGCATCGCCCCCTGCCGCGCTGCGACGGAGAACTCCGTGTGCTGAGGGCCCCGGAGGGCGACCGGCAGGCCTCCCGGGGGTGCCCTGGTCTGCGGGGCCCCGCGGCAGAGGCCTGCGGCCGCCCGCGTGTCGGACGCCCCCCCCCTCGACGGCCGCCGCCCCCCCCCCCCCCACTCTGGGCCCAGGGGCAACGCTCCCCTGACCGTCCAGGAGAGCTAACAAATAGCACCAGGACGTCGACGTCCTAATGCCTGTCGAGGTTGGAGGCAGCCCAGATAGGTTTCTAGGTCTGGAGCGCTATGTTTTGGCGCTCTGGAAGGTCAGGGTCGGGGGGGGCGGCGAGGGCTCGGAGGGGAGGGCACCAGGCTGAGGCGCGGCGAGGCTTCGAGGCTCAGGGGAGGGCACCAGGCTGAGGCGCGGCGAGGCTTCGAGGCTCGGGGGCCTTCGGGCCGTTCGGGGACGTCGCCGGCGGCTCGCTCCGGCCTCGGGAGGTGCTCTCCGGCAGCCGCGCCTCGCCGAGAGCGCGCCGGGGGGTGCCCGGGAGCGTCGCGAGCGGTCGCCGGCGAGCCGAGCCCTGGCCCGAAAAGGCAGGGGCAAAGCCATGAGGGGGGGGATGGGCTCGGGGTGGAGTCGGGCGTGTCCTCCTGCAGGAGGAGTGCTCAAGAGCAGGCCAACAAGTAGCCGGGGGGCGATTGTTTTTGCTCAGGTTTGATTCCGCGCGCATGTGCAAAGCACTTGCGGAAGGGTCTTCTCATTTTTCGCCCGGAATCCGCCCGCAATTAGTCAGAGCGTGAATTGCCTACCCCGCTGTCGCTTCCAGGCAAAACCAAACCATACCACGCGCCTCCTCGTCAAGCGGCCCGACCAGTACAGACTGCAATTTGGCATCGTTTGGTGTCTCCTGGAAGCGAGGGTGGTCAAAAGCGGGGTAGGTTCGTTTTCCCCCTAATTAGGGGGGGACACGCCCGACCTAAGTTCGGCTGGGTAGTCGAAGGCCAGACTGTCAGACTGGATTGGGCCCCAAGGGCCAATCTGGCCCGGCCAAACTGGGTGATTTGGGTTATTCGCCAGACTGGATTCGCGCTGGCTCCCTCGCCAGATTGCCCCCGTTTGCCAGATTGGGCCTGCCAGATTGGCGCCAGATTGGCTTCGACTACTCCAGATTTCGTAATAAAAGGGAGGGGGTCTGGACCCTCCAAGACAAGCCATTTCAGACCTCCCCCCCCCCCGGGGAGAACCCTCCAGAACATCGTCCCCAGACCACCCCAGGCCCTCCAAGATAGCCTGGAAGAGACCCCCCCCCCGAAATGAGACCCCCCTCCCTTTTACTACGAAATCTGGAGTACCCAGCCCGACCTAAGTTCTGGAGGGGGGACGCATCACGCAGTGACCACCACTCGCCCACTGGTCGCCGACAGGGGGGGGCCCTGCTGGCCCGCCCCGATCCCAGGGCCGTGCGGGTATGCGCCGTCGCCGGCCTGTCGACGAGGTATCCCAGATTTCGTAGTAAAAGGGAGGGGGGTCTCATTTCGGGGGGGGGTCTCTTCCAGGCTCGCAAGTCTGCCCCCCAGCAGGAGGAGGAAGACGACGAGGGTGGTATCCAGGATGGATGGAAACCTGAGCTCCGCTTCCGCGCTTCCGCGCGAGATGGTGGTATCCAGGATAGATGGAAACCTGAGCTTTCGCGATGGATCTGGTGGGGCGATTACTCCAGATTTCGTAGTAAAAGGGAGGGGGGTCTCATTTCGGGTGGGGTCTCTTCCAGGCTATCTTGGAGGGCCTGGGGGGGTCTGGGGACGATGTTTTGGGGGGTTCTCCCACGGGGGGGGGGGGGCTGAAATGGCTTGTCTTGGAGGGTCCAGACCCCCTCCCTTTTATTACGAAATCTGGAGTATCCCTTACTCCAGCTCGCTAGTCTGCCCCCCAGCAGGAGGAGGAAGACGACGACGACGACGACGACGACGACGACGACGACGACGACGACGACGACGACGACGACGAGGACGAGGACGAGTACGAGGACGAAGAGGAGGCCGACGACGAGGGCGAGGAGGAAAAGGAGGGGGGGACGGAGGGGCAGGAGGACAAGCTAGGTGCGCTCGCGTCATATCTGACATCCTACCCCTCCCTCCCATCCCTTACCATGGCGCAGGTCCCCTCTCTACTCGCTCAGTCGGATGTCGAGCAGGGCAATGATCCCGAAAGGGTACGCGATGCATGGTAGAGCACGGCATGGCATGGCGTAGAAGAGCACTGCAAAGCGTAGTATCAACCTAGCATTGCATTGCATGCCGTGGCATGGCACGGGAAATGACGCCAGCGCTGCACCGGGAGCACGAGTCGAAACGAGCGGAAGCGCGGAAATGAGGCCAGCGCTGCAGCGGGAGCACGATTCAGAACGAGCGGAAGCACGGAAATGAGGTCAGCGCTGCAGCGGGAGCACGATTCAGAACGAGCGGAAGCACGGAAATGAGGCCAGCGCCTCAGCAAGAGCAGCACTCTGGAAACAAATGCAGGCGAAAGCCCAACTCCGGGGAAACCTGTGTGTAAAAAAACAGTACGCGGGGGGGGTCGGCCACTTTCAAACCGTCATCAGGGGAAGAGGGAGAGTAGTATTCAAATTGAGTAATTGTGGAGGAGGAGGACGACGCCCCCCCCCCCATGGAGCCAGTCGCCCCCCCCCCCACGCTGCAACTCGTGGACCCCTCCCCCGAGCGGGCGTCCCGGCGCGATCTCACACGCGTGGCCTGTCACACCTTGGACGAGGAAATCAGGTGGACACTCTGCCGCACCTCCTCTGCGGCCGCCTCGCGGGCGAGCGTCGCTGTCGCTGCCGCCGCCGCCGACAGCTGTCGGTCCGAGGCGGGGATCAATCCATATCCACCGCCTGGGGGATCGCTCGTCGGGGGCCTCGGGAGGTGATGGACGTGGCTACATTGGGACCCCCTGGGGTCCCGCCGCCCCCTGGGGTCCCAGGGCACCGGTTCCCCCAGCAGTGGGTGTGGGTAAGTCTCCGCCTCGCAGTCGGGGCCGGTCGGAGCTGGGCGTGGCGGTCCGAGTTCGGTCCGGTTCGGGATGGTTTGTTGGCGAGTCGATTCGGCGCGCTCCGATTCGCCATCTCGCGGTTCTATTGGGGGCTCCCGTGGAACTCTCGCGCGCAATTCGAGCGCCGACTTCGAGCGTTCGTCCCAGACGTCGTGGCCCCAGAGGTCCCGACTCTTTCTCCGAGGTTAATTTTTCGCTCCAGATCATCTTTTGATGGCCCTGGGACCTGGCAACGGATCCCAGAGGCCGAAAACGATGGACAATTGAACCAAAAGCATGTTGTTGGAGATCTGGCCCGAACCAAAAGCATGTTGTTGGAGATCTGGCCCAGACATGCGATATCTTCATTTGTTCCATGCGGAATCCCTGGAAGTCCTGATCCTTTCCCCAGGCCCCGTGTTTCATCCCGAGTCGTCTTTTACGGCCCCAGGGCCCTGCGAGGACTCCCAGAGGCCGAAAACAGCTCAAAACCTCCCGTTGTAATTTTTCGCAGCGCGAGCATGTGTGTGAGAGTTCCCTCGCGCGCGTCTTTGGACTGGCGCACCGCTCCGCCGCACCCACAAACACATACATTTACGCACGCACACACATATGTATATTCTCATACGCACCTCTCCGAGGGAGTAGAGCTCAGAGGCGATTAATGCGCACGTCGTTCGCGATTTTTCTGGCCGTTTCGCTCGGGACATCCTCGAAATTCTGAAAATCGGTGGCACCCCTCACGCAGATCGTGACGTCAGGGTCCAAAAACACATGGGAATTTCAACAGTTTAACATAAAACCTTCAAAAACACATGGTAATTTCAATCATGTTGACCCCGATTCTCAGAGAATGGCGGTTTCGCCTGAGACATCCTCTCAAAATCGAGCCCCAGACCCCTCCTCGGAGCCTCCTGGGGGCCTCCTGGAACCTCCTGGGGCCTCCTGGGGCTGGACCTTCTGGTGCCCCAGACCCCGCCTCGGAGCCTCCTGGAGTTCTCCTGGGCCTGCCGAGGCCGCCTGGGGCCTCCTGGGGCCTCCTGGGGCTTCAGAACTACATGCACACACAGAGACACCAATCACGCCCAACACATCACACGCTAGACAAACAGAACATACACACACAACACCGACAACACACAAAAAGCACGCACCGCACAAAGCACACATCACACACACACAACACTCACAATCCTGGGGCCTCCTGGAGCCTCTTCTGGTATTCAAGTCGGGCCTCCTGAGGCTTCCTGGGGGGCCCTGGTACACACATCGCAAGGTGTGGCAACCCCACTTGCGCTCGAGTGCGACTTCGCTGTTGCATGTCACTCCTGCTTCAAACGCCCCTTCAGCTTGTTGTATGAGCCTGGGCACACACGTGCCACTTGTATATATGTATATTTATATTCAGATTCATCAATATATATATATAGATGTATATATACATATATGTGTATGTGCACACACAGGTATGTGTGTATGTATGTATATACACATATGTCTGGAGTTACATGTATACGAATACTCTCTCACATGCACACATCTATATTTATATATATATATATGTATATGTTTATATATATACATATATATATACATGTACATGTCAATATGTGTCAGACTAATGGGGCCCGAACGGTCATTTACTGTCCCTGGGTGCGTGGCTGAAGTGTGGACCCACGGCGAGGATTATTGTTGTTGTTTTGTTGTTGTGTTGTTGCTGGTGTTGTTGTTGTTGTTGTTGTTGTTGTTGTTGTTGTTGTTGTTTTGTCGCGTCGTCCCCACCCAGACCCGCCCGCGACCCACCCGCGACCCACCCCGCGACCCACCCCGCGACCCACCCCGCGACCCACCCGCGACCCAGCCCGCAGACCCACCCGCGACCCACCCCGCGACCCACCCGCGACCCAGCCATATTACTTTAAAGAACAATCGGCGCCTGCGGCGAGCTCGTTGCACAACTTGCGGAAGTTCGGCGCCTGCGGCGGGCTTCTTCAGAGCCTCGCAAACCGCAGACGTCCCCGCCGTCCCATCACTCTTATCCGCAACTGCGGGGTGCTACATATGTGTACATATAGCCCCCACGGGGCTCCGCCAAGTCCGCTACCACTTCCAGCACATATCCCTGGTACCACCTTTCTTGGCGTCCAAGAGAGCCCCGGGAGAGCTTGAAGACGGACCAGGACGCCCCCGGGACAGCCCAAGAGTGCTCCAAGGTTGTCCAAGCCAGCTCCCCGATGGCTCTGGAAGCCCCCAAGAGCACTCAAGATCGCCACAAGAGGCTTCCAATAGTCCCCCGAGAGCCTTTAGGAAGCCCTCGAGATGCCAAACTGTCTTTGATTGAAGATCATTAGTTTTCTGTTTTCTCGCGCTTCCGCCTCCGACACGCTTCCGAGGCGGCCCCCAAGAGAGCTCCAAGAGGCCCCCAGGAGGCGTCCCGAGTGGCGCGAAGTGGCCCAAGAAGTGACAGGAGTCGCCCCGCAGGAATCCAGCGCCGAAGAGGGCCCCGAGAGGCCCGCGAAAGCTCCCAGGAGGCCTCCAGGAGAGTTCCAAGATGCCCCCAGGAGCCACTCGGAACGCATCCTGGGGGCATCTCGGAGCTCTCTTGGGGTGCAGCCCGCAGGCCTCGGAGGCGCATCGGAGGCAGAAGTACGAGAACACAGACATCGCAATTGTTTCTTGGTTTGGGTCAAGGATGTTGGCCTCTCGAGGACTTCCCCGGAGATCTTGGGGGATGTTTGAAGGCCTCTGGGGATCATTCTGAGTGCTCTTGCGGGGTTCCAGAGCCAATTTGCAAAACAAGGGATTCCCTCAAATCCTGTTCTTCGAGTTCGCCCATCCCCCTCCGCTCCCTCCTGTCCCAGGCTTTGGCGTGCCCCAGAATGCGTTTCCGTTTCTTCCATCCCTCGCTGTCCGTTCTCTTTGTCTTTCTCTCCTGCTCTTGGTTCTCCTCCGTCTCCCCTTCCTGTCCTCCTCCCTTCTGCCCGCTGCGTCATTTTCCCTCTTCCCTCTTCCTCGACTCTCCCTCACGCCTTCCTCTTTCCGCCACTCTCATGCGTTTCTGTCCCCCTCCCTCCCTCATCCTGGACTAATCCTCATGTCTCCTTCATTCCTTCCTCCCTCCGCCGCCCTTACTTAGTATCCTGCCCCCACTGAGTGGTTGGAGGCCCAGCTTGAGAAAATCAGGAAATCCATCACATCCATGTTTTACACGGTCGACCCCATTTGACATTTCTAGCCCGGACGCCAATAGCCCCTGGGAGGCCCCCGAGGCGCGCTGACGAAGTCCTGAGAGACCAACAGGAGACCCCCACCGAACACCGAATAGAGAGACCCCACCCCCAGAACCCCCCCAGGGCCATCCAAAAAAGTCCCCCAAAGGCATCCAAAGATATTCAAAACAAAAACACCTACGCCTAGAGGGCTGTTGGCATTCCCGCCAGTACCAGCGAGTAAACGAGTTGCAGCCGGACGCTGGTATGTCGCACAGCGAAGCAGGTAAGAATATTACCGCGCGCTTTTGTTGGCCAAGGGATGAAAAAAAGGCATCCACAGAGACTCCGAACATCTTCTTCCCAAGGCTGTTAGGAGCTCTCGAAAGTCCCCCCGCAGGCTGCCCTGGGTCCTCCACGTGGCTGCCTTGCGGGCCTTCCCAGAGCCTCCCCGGGCGCTTTCAAGAAAACAGCTGGGTGGAATCGCCCTGCACGCATACCTGTGGCGCGAAGTCGTGCTGGATGCCGCCTCCATTAGAAGAGTGAGCGGCGCCATCTGTCTGGTGCCGAATGTCGTGCAACGTCTTAACGCTTCCCAGCACGGCACAACACGGCCCCAGGGATCCCCAAGGCCGCGCGCCCGATGCGGCGTCGACTGACCTCGGCAGCCCTGAGACGGCTTGATCTGCCCCATATCATTGGCCCCCTGGGTTTCCAAGGGACCTCCCAAACACTTCCGAGATAGTCCGAGGGGCCCTCCAGGCGCCCAGAAGATTTTCGAGACCGCGAAGGACGGTCCACGGGCCACGAGCCTCTCGAAGCCTCCCAAAGGTTACCGTTGGGATGCTGCTCGGTGTATCGTATCTGCTCAGAGCAGCAGGATCTCGTAGGGCGGGCATGTTTATTCAACGACTCCTGAGGCGTCCGTTAGGGAGTACGCTCCCAGATGGTGATCGTTGCGGAACGATGTCTATCCTCACCCAGTCCGGTAAGTTGATTTGGTATGCGCTATGTACTAAGTGTGCGAAGCGCGCGGGTGGTTCGAGTACATATAGTTATATACACATACATACATACATACATACATACATACATACATACATACATACATTTGCAGGCCGTGGTGCGCTGGCTGGCCGGCCACTTCGGTGTGGAGCCCGTGAGGTCGCTGGTCAACCATTACCAGGCGCTGGTGTCCCCCACCTTCTTCTGCTCCTCCCATCCCTCCTCTCCCTCACATTCCACCTCCTCCTCCTCCTCCTCATCCTCCTCCTCCTCATCCTTCTCCTCCTCCTCCTCCTCCTCCTCCTCCTCCTCCTCCTCCTCCTCCTCCCACTCCTCCTCACGCCAGTCCTCCCGCCAGTCCTCCGCCGCGCCACCTCCTCTCACATCTCTCCTCCTCCTCCTCCTCCTCCGCCTCCTCCTCATACTACGATTTATCTCCCTCTTCGTCCTCCTCCCCCCACCTCCTCACATCTCCTCCTCCCACTTCTTCTTCTTTCTCGTCGTCCTCCTCCTCCTCCTCCTCCTCCTCCTCCTCCTCCTCCCATCTCCTTCTCCCATCTCCTTCTCCCATCTCCTTCTCCCATCTCCTCCTCCCACCTTCTGCTCCTCCTCCTTCTCTTTCTCCTCCGCCTCCTCCCTTTGCTGCTCCTGTTCCTCCTCCTCCTCCTCCTCCGCCTCCTCCTCCCTCTGTGCCTCCTCACCCCGTGTCAACTCCACCCTCCTCCTCCTCCTCCTCCTCCTCCTCCGCCTCTTTCTCCTCCTCGTCCTTTTCCTGCTCCTCCCCATCCTTGTCGACGCTTGCTCACTCCTCCCATGCTCATCCTTCCCGCCTCCCCTCATCTCCGCCGTGGCCATTTTGGCTGAAAATCTTGGCTGTCCGCGACAGCGAACGGATACCGCCTATCCGCGGCAGCCTTGCAAAGTTCTTCGCGGGCAGTCCGCCCTGCACGCTGCGTGCACCTGCTACCTTAGGGGCTTGCAGGGGCCCAGCTTTCAGCGGTACCTCTCGAGTCGTCGATGGTGAGCGGCGGCGATGGCAATGCCGGCAGCTAGGTTCAACACAGACGGAAGGGCGCATCGGCGTGACATTGCACATGGCGCGTCAACATACGCAACGGTGCGAGGTGGTGGAACCTCGCGGGCAAGCCAAGCGGCTCGATCTGCGGTGCGGCGAAAGAACATGCATACAGAGGAGATCTTGACGCCGGCGGCCCTGCATCCACATCGAACCGTGCTGCTGCCAGCCTGCGAGACGAACGTCGTAAGCAGGCAAAGCAGGCGGCGATCGACAAGCTCAAGGCTCAGATGGCTGCCAAGGACAAGGAGATCGCACGGCTCAGGTCCGCAGGTGCTGACTAGTCTGAACAAGGGGTAGGAGAAAGCGAGGCAAAACTCTCCGAATTGGGGGCGACGCTTCGCACCATCGGCAACAGTTTGGACCCCATCCTCATGGCCTCTTGTGAACAGATAGCAGAAGAGGCAGATGCCATCGAGGTCCAGAGGTATGCGGCGAAACCTCTGGTGAGCCCAGCCCCACCAGGATACGAACCGCTGACAGGCTCTCGGGGGGAAGCGGAACAAGCTGATGGTCTCATTTGATGAATTACGTGCGGCCCCAGCTAAGCTGTCGAATGAGGCGATGGAGTCCCATGCGTCGCTTGCAGGCATCAGCGCGGAGCTGGCGGAGCTTGACGGCAAATGGAGGCATATTGCCGTTGCTGCCCCCATACCGCAGGTCGGGGAGAAGCCGTCGTTCGGGATTGTGGTGGCAGGCACAACGTTGATCATCCAGGGAAGATGCCGCTGGCGCCCGGTGGCGACGAGAGCCTGGTCAAGGTGGTTGCCACATGCTTTGGCAAGTTCCGCGAGCTGGACAAGGCGGCGCGCGCGAATGCACGAAGAACCGCATGTCCAGAAAGCCGTGCCGGTGGTGGAGAAGGGCGAGGTGGAGACCCAAAGCCTGGGATCGGCATCGCCGTCCTCATGGATGAGGGCGGCCTCGAGGGCATGCGGGTGTTCTGCAAGGCTGCGCTCGGGTCGGGGCCTCCAGCCGCCGAGCAGGGATGTTCGAGCAGTTGCCGGAACTATTGGAGAAGCTTGCGGCTACCGCGCCAAGAAGACCAAGACGAGGCATGAAGGTGCATAGTTGCGCTGCGTCCTGGCTGTTGCTGGTGAAGGTCGGTCTGTGTACGTGGACCCCTGCGGTTGCATCAGGGCCAGGGGCCAGGGTGCTGGCTCCCCCGCCAGGTTAGATGAGGAACGGCCGGGACACGGTGCAGCAGGTCCACGGGCCCGTGCGTCGCAACGCCGTACAGGACAGGTGGGGTGGTTGAGTCCACCACCCTTGCAGGTCGAGATCACTTTCGCAGGAGCGATGCCCCCCCCTCCCGCCTGCTAGGTTAGACCAGATGCGGCCTGGAGACGGTGGAGCGGTTGGTCGGAGATGCAGGAGGTAAAAGGTAGAGCAGTCTGATACCGTGGATCCCGCGACGAGCAAAGTTGGCATCACGAACGCCACTGTACCAGTGCTACCCATGGACGGACATTAACTTCGGAACACGAGCGGCACAGCTGGACAACCATGGTGAGCTTCGAAGCGCGAACGTGGACGGCGCCGACCAGCAGACGCCCAATGGTTACACCGCCATGGTCAATGCGTCGTCACACGGGCCCATGCTCAAGGTATTCGGGAAGAAGACGTACCCCGTGCACGGCGTGTCCTTGATGACGGAACAGCATGCAGATGAGCAGCGGATTGCGGATGTACAGAAGACTGCCCTGGGCGTTAGTCTGTCAGAGGTGTGGGCACCAGCGATCAGCCCAGCTCATGCTGGTACGACAGGTGGAGTTGCGATCTTGTCGACGCTGAGGGTGCTTACCTCCAGACCGCCAGTCCTGCTGCCTGGTAGAGCGGCAGCAGGTCGGCCTCATTGAGGCTTACAGGAGACATAGTAGTGATATCGCTGCACTCGCGGTGAGCACTGAGCTCGCCAGTAAACGTGTTGAGACCCTCGCGGTCGTCGCAAGGTACGTGGCCATGCTGAACGCGATCGGCCATGCGCGCGCGGTAGGCGACGACTTCAAACTGGACCCAGACTGCCTCGAGGAGCGGCTTCATGCCTCGAGGGGGCGTTGACCGCATTGCGTTCCAACACGTAGGCAAGCGAAGCCAGGGGCGGTGATCGATTTCTTCGTTGGGCCTCAGCAGTTGGCGAACACCGCTGCGCGCCCTCAAGTGGAAGAAGATGTTGATGTCTTCCCATGCGTGCCTGTAAGGCCGCTTGAATGCGCCGAGCCTGCCGACATATGTCCGCGGGTTGCAGTTGGACCAGCTGGGTTCCCAGCCGCGGTTGTGCTTCCACCGGGATGCAGTAGATGTCCGCCCGTGGCAGGGTGAAACGAGGCGCGCGCCAATCTGTCCATTGCTAATGATCAGAGCTTGGCGGCGCGCCAGGACGGGGCGCCGATCGGTTCGGGGGCGGAGATTCTGGTTAGGCTGGACATCATGGATGCAGCGCATCGCAAAAAGTATCGCGGCAGAGCGGGTGGTTGAAAGTTTAAGTGTTTACACAGAACATGTCATTGTTAAATGTCAATGCACGCAGGAAGGTTGAAGAAAGTGCAACGCAGAAGGGTTAAATGTTTGCGCGTTCTGCTCCTCGAAAGCCAATGGGGCCCTGGACCGCCAGCTATGCGATTGCGACGGGATTTGGATCCCTGGGCCCTTCGGGCAACGTGATTGCGAGGATGTCTTGGAGCTTCGGGCGGGGATGAGGGGCCGAGGTGAAGCGGGCCCGCCTGCTCGGGCATCGGGCGCGAGCAGGCGCGCGGCTTCCCGCTGGAAGGCGCGGCGCCCCCTCAGGCCCCCGAAAATTGGGCGCCCGAGTGGTCCGGGGTAACTCGGGCCCGGGGTGACTCGGGTTCGGAAACCCGAAAGACGAGCCCGAGTTAGCCCTGGCCCGAGTTGCCCCCGATGATTCGGGGCTCTGAGAAATGCCCCCGCGTGCTCGCGGGGCGGGGGAAGCGCATCTGCGCCGGCGGCCTCGGGCTGGCCAGCAACGGCCCCGAGCTCGGGCGGCGTGCTCGGGCTGCGGCGGAGGCGGGCCCAGGAGGGCCCCGCGTGCGCGCGGCGCGCGGGGCTCTCTGGGCGGCCGGCGCCGCGCGGTGCCCCATGGCGGGGAGGCGCGGCATTTGCCCGAGCGCTGTCGGCGTGGCCCCGCGGACGCCCAGGTCGTGCCTGGCCAATTCTCAGGAGGGGAAGGAACACACACAGACACAATGAGTCGCCGATTTCCCCAGAAAAGCACGGGAAAATGGGGGGCAGCGGGGGGAAGACAGGCACTCAGAAGATAAAGGGAAAATCTGGGGGATCTTTCTGTTTGTGTGTATTTACTTGTGTGTTCCAGAGCCCCTTCAAGTTCGGGGTCGCGAAGAAAGGCAATCCGTGGCCACCGGAGCTGGCATCTAGCTCGGCTGCGCACGCTTCCGCGCGGAGGAGGTGTTTTTTTGGTTGTTCGATACGATTTGCCCAGCGATTCGAATCTGCGCCCTTCGTTTGCTCGGGCCCCCGCTCGCCGCGAGCGGGGGGCCCTTGTCTCTGGAAAAACGAAGCTCGCCAAGATGATGTCGGGCACTTCTTCGGAAACGTGTCGGCTGATTGTCTCGCTGGGCGAGGGTCGGAAAACGCGGCGGCACCGAATGCCTCCGTTATCCTGCAGAGATGCCCATTCAGCCAGATCTAAGTGCAGCTCAGTGTTTCTTTTAGTTTTTCGCAGTCCGTGGCCGCCTCGGCCGATGGGAACGACCCCACCCTGTCCCCATGCGAGCAAGCCGCGGGTCGAGAGCAACGAACGGTGATACTGGAGCACGAGATCTTTATCCTCCCTCCTAGGGGACAAGTGGAGATGCAGACCGTGTGACTCGCTGGCTCGGACACAGGCTTCCCCATCGCGCAGCTGCGAACGGGGAGTCGACGGGCGCGCGCGCCGACAGAGCATCGTAGACTCCAGGCGCGTGAGCGGCCCCCCTGCCTTCCGAGGCGGTGCAGGTTGCAATGAGCTTCGCCGACGAGGTCTTTGGTCCCCAGGAGGCGGCGGTAGAGCCTCACCGAGCCGCGCTTGGGATGCTTACGGGGCTTTAGCACGAAACAGAAAAGACTGGGATGATGTAGTTTCGCCCGGTGTGCTCAGCGCACGTATTGTATCCTGCCTGGCGGGGCCTGTCGCGGGCCCAACGTCAGAGGCAAGGGCAGGAGCGCCCATCCCAGCACCACGTCCTCGCAAACCTTAAATATAAAGCAGAGTGCGAGAGGGTTCAGCCCCAGGACGGGCGCTGGCGGGGGAGTGGCCTGTCGAGCACGGTCTTTGCCGCTTGGCAGGGAGGTGTGCTGCAACAGTTTCCTGAGGACCACTCCCGCCCCTTGCCAGTCTCATGCGCTGGTTTCGCTGATCGCTGAGCTTGATGCGCGATAGAGCGATCGTCGCCCCATCTGATCCAGTCGGTGGAGCGACTCCTCCTTAGCCGAGGCGCTTGCGGACCCCGCTTTCGCTTTCAGGCTGGTCGCCTCGCCCTTCACCTCTTCCTTCCCCTCCTCCTCCTCCTCCTCCTCCTCCTCCTTCTCCTCCCTATCCTCCTCCTCCTCCTCCTCCTCCTCCTCCTCCTCCTCCTCCTCCTCCTCCTCCTCCTCCTCCTCCTCCTCCCGCCTCCCGTCTCCCGTCTCCCGTCTCCAGTCTCCCGTCCCATCCGCCTGCCACCTGCGCGCGGGGGAGGGGGGGGCACGAGGACCTGGGGCCTGCGACGGGGGCAGCGTGGGACGGATGAGCGCCCGCTCCTTTCCGACGCCACGGGCGCCTGCCCGATGAAGAGAGCCCGGCGCGGCAGGACGCCCTTGTCGAGCCTGGCGGCCTCCAAGGGAGTTTCTCGACGAGGATGGGGCCCGAAGAACAGACACATTCATAAGCGCAACTTCTTGGGGGCCGCGCGGATGTCTTGGGTCGGCCTTCGGGCCTCCCACGTGGTAGCGCCTCCAGCGCCGCCCCTGGTCCAGCGCCGACTCAAGCAATCCTGGCGGACCTCCGAGAGGTTATGCCCATGCAGCTGGTCGCTCATTTCGAGGCAGCGCAGCTATACGCTTGCGGACGTCCGCGCTCTGACTGCTTCGCGGGCGCGCGGCCCCCAGGCGGAGCGGTCGGCATTCTGCTGGAAGTTGGTGGGCATGCTGCGGTTGTGCCCCGCACCTGGTGCCCCTCCGAGCGGCGGCGAGCTGCGAGCTGCGCGCTCGCGCTCGCCGACCGGGGCAGCGCTCGCCACAGGGGAAGCGGGTCCTGCGGGAAACGGGTCCCGAGGCTCTTCGCCGTCTCCGGGCTCTCGGTGCCCTCCACGTGCCCCTTGGACGGTCAGAAAACGACCCAGGATGAGAGATTCGCCCTGGCGGGGGGGGGCCCGGGGTCAGGGCCCGTGGCCCTCAGGGCCCGTTGCCCTCAGGGCCCGTTGCCCTCCTGGCCCGCTCTCTGCACGGACTTCCTGGATAGGGCCCCTGTTCTCCTGCTCTTCACCCCTCCCTCCCTCCTGCATTCGTCGACGGCCAGGCGCCGCGCGCAGTCCTGGCGATCGGCTGCGACAGCGCTTTCGGGTCGCTGCTTCGGCCTGAGCGGCACAGCGCTGGATCATGCAGTTTCGGCCTTCACCCCTCTCGATGGGTGGTCGAGATCTGCTTCGCGATCTCGGTCGAAGAACCTCCGACAGGGGGCCGATGGCCCACCTCGCCCCGCCGGCGCATTGGCAGGCGCAGTGGCGGCGGCTCATTTTTGATGTGGATGTTGTTGGTGGGGATGCTGGGTGATGGGGGGAGGCACGGAAGATCCCCTGGCACCTTCCGGATAAGAGGAACGGCATACATATGATTGCGAAGGCCTGACGGCCGGTGCCGCCGACCCGGGCCGGTGCCGCCGACCCTGAAGAGGAGGGGGGAGGAGGAGGAGGAGGAGGAGGAGGAGGAGGAGGAGGAGGAGGAGGAGGAGGAGGAGGAGGAACGGCATACACATGATTTCTCGGAGTTCCACGCGGGTTTCTTGCATCGGCGTTGGGCCCCCTTGGCGTTGCCTCTGGCGCCGCCCCGCTCGCGCTCCGCGCGCCAGGAGGGAGCGGGGGAGGCCAGCGCCGATCCGAGAAGGCCGCGCGGACCTCTGGGAATGCGTGTGCTTCTGCAAGTTTCGTACGCTTGTTGGGCAGCCTTCAGCTTCGGCCTCGAGGGGTCGGACTGGAAAGGGAAAGGATTGGGAAAGGGGGGGAACGCAGTAAAGGGAAAGGGAAAGCATTGGGAAAGGATTGGGAGAGGGAAAGGATTGGGAAAGGGAGGGGCTGGTCGAGCTGGGCGACGTGGAGGAGGGGGAAGGGGGGGGGGGGGTACGAGGTCTGCCGCCTGCAGCCGGGTGGAGCCCCGCCGCCGGGCCACTGCCTCGCTGCGTGGTGCCCTCTGGGCGCCGGGGAAGCCAACCACGCTCAGGAGGGAACAAAAACGCACAGACACGATTCATCGTCGATTCCCCCGAAGATATGGGAGAGCATGGGCAGTGGGGGGGGGGGGACAAAAACCCAGAAAATATTGGAAAATAGGGGGGAACTTTTGCTTTGTGTGCATTTCTTTGTGTGCCCTGGGGCCCCTTCACGCGCGACCCGATTCGCTGACCTCCTCTGCTTTGTTGCCCCCCTGCCGTCTGGCCCGACCTTCGCGGGCCCCCCCAGGGCCGTCGAAGAACGACTCGGATTCAGAGATGGCGGTTCTGGGGAAGGGGCCGAATCCTCTTGCGATCCACGTCTCGAGGAATCGAGGCCCTGCCTTAGTGGGCCCTGGAAGCGACAGGGCCGTTTTTTTACCGGTTCCGTTTTGCCGTTTTTGTTACCGGTTCCGACGCCGTTTTTTTACCGGTTCCGTCGCCGTTTTTTGACCGGTTCCAGCTCCGGTTCCAATCTTGGAGCCGTTTTTTGGCCGTTTCCGGTCGCCGTTTTTTTGCCGTGTTCATTTTCAAGGGACATTCTCTTGGAAACGGTGAAAAAAACGGCGCTGCCGTTTCCGGGGCCCACACAGGCTAGTCTAGGCAAGTCTTCTTTGAGGAAGCAGACCGGACCCACCTCCACCGTCCTGCACCAGGAAACGGCCGCTGGTCGTTCCGAGTCTGGGCTGCCAGAGGCTTCTTTTTGTCCTTGGAGGCAATCCCCATGGCCCGGAGGTCAGGAGACGGGTAAGGGGTGGGGAGCTACAGGCGCCAAGCGTCATGTAAAAAGACGCCCGAGGTCTGGGAACTCGGGCTGCCAGAGTGCAGATCGCAGACCATGTCTGGTCGTTCTGATTTTCGCGGCTTCCGTCGGTGTTGGCGTCATGTTTCACCCGATCGGCAAAAGCGACACCCAGAGACACCCGCACCTGGGATTGAACAGTATGCCACATATTGCTCAATCCCAGGTGCGCGTTTGTTTGGGCGTCGGCTTTTCGCTCGTATGTCTGTTTCCTTGGATGTGATAGACCGATTCCATGTCACGTTTCTCCATGTTGTTTGCTATTCAGCAGTAGCGCTTACATGTGTGTCACTATGCTGAGACGCCGTTGCAGTTCATGCCGTCCAGTAAAAGAGCGTCGACACTGCAGCAATGTCAAACCTACGATATCCAGAAAATTCTGGACGATTCGCAGTTTAATAGAGGCATCGATTGCACCCAAACGGTCGTCAAAAGGATGCCGACATGTTGTGGCAAGAAGGCGATGTCTTGTTTTAGCTGTTTTTGATGATCAGCGGAGCATAGGCTGCCACGGGGTACAACATCATGGTTTTCTGAGCAATCGGATGGCAATCTATCGGGCCGGCCTCGCTGTGATCGCACACCGGAGGACACCGCAGGGGGATTGAGCAGAAGTAATTCATGAAGACTTTTGCCACACAGGGGCACTTAAGCGTAAAAAGGTAACAGTGTGTCCATGTTGCCGCGTTCACGTTGTACACAACAGCACGTTGATTCCCACGCCCCTCGCTGCCCCCGCAGAATGGAGACCATTTCACGGCATTCCATTCTGACCAGTACTTCGACGGCGTCAACATGACCATCGGCGCATCATTCGGAGAGGAGCGGGCGCTTATCTTCGAGCACAAGGAGTCAAAGGACCCGCATTTGAGAGCGTATGACAAGATCTGTCTGCGGGAGGAGGGGAAGATGGAGGTGAAAGTGGTCGGCGTGGGCCCGACAAGCGAGCATCTCGTCCTATGCACCTCTCTGCTAGGTTTTCTGTTCGTCTTCTCACTGTCGCGGCGTTGCTTCCCCCTTTTCCAAGTCCATCAGCCTTCTCTGCATACCAGTAGAGTTGCATGTCGCAAAAGGGGTGGCGCCTTATACTGACAGTGCTGTTGCTGGAGCTTCTGAGATGGCAATGTGGTGCTGTTGGTGATGATGCGTGCGATGGCCAGTCCACCACGCACGCGACACAGAAAGACGGGGTCGTCTTCACCGACTTCGGCGCGTAAGCTGCCCGCGTAAGGCCACGCGCAAGCGCCCTCGTCTCCACTGTGGGGTGCCGCGCTGGCGGCCCCAGGTACAGCGGGAACCCATGCCAAGAAACGCCCTGCTTGCCTCCAGGGTGCCCTGGGTTTTCTTGGGTTTCGCTGATTTTGCTATGGATCGCGTGACGCTCCCACACCAAGAATAGATCAATGGACGTCCTGCGGTCTCAGGCCTGGATTTCTTGTGGAAGGCTTCTTGTGGTCGAGCGTCTACTGTACGCTGGAGTCGCTGGGGGGCTTCCGAGGTCACCGCTCGAACATGACTGTTCCGGGGTTCCCGTGTGTAGAGTTTCTCCGGAGGACTTAGGCGACCCGTCCTCCTCGCATGTCCTCCTCCTCCTCCTCGTCCTCCTGCTCCTCCTCCTCCTCCTCCTCCTCCTCCTCCTCCTCCTCCATTTTGGCTCAAGCGGACGCACGGCCTCGCCCGCGCGCGCCCCCCCCTGCGGCGTGGCGCCTCGCGGGATGCCGAGGCCTAGAGGGGCTTCCGAGGCCCCTGGCGGCGCCGACCTCGTCGAGGCCGCCGTCAGGGCCGCGGTCCTGGCAGGAGCGCCGCGGCGGACGGTCGCCGCCGTCGCCCGCTCGGCCATCTCCGCCGCGCTGTACGCGCGCGGAGAGAGGCCGACGGAGGCGGCCGCCGACCAGCCTGCTGCTGCTCCCCCTGCTGACGATGAAGTACGTGGATGCGCTGCTGGCGCCGCCGAGGCCGCTGGTGCGGCAAAGGCGGCTCGGCGGCAGCGTCGCCGCCAGCGCCTGGCGGCGGCGCGCTTGGCTGCGGGTGGCGGTCCTGGAGCTGCGGGCGGGGCAGTCGTGCCCGCGCGCGCGGCGGAGGGCGCTCCTGCGGCGGCCCGCGACGACGACGAGATGGAGGTGCTCGACGACGAGTGGGCGGACGGCGCGCGGCGCCCTGCCCCTCGGAGGCGGCGCCTCCGCCGCACCGACACGCTGGCGGAGGCGCCTGGCGGCGCTGGAGCTGGCGCGATGGCGGCGGAGCCTGCTCGTGCAGCTGGCGGAGCCGCCGCGGCGGATGTGGAGGCGGAGGCTGCAGCGGCCGGCGGAGCCGCCGCCGCCGTCCCCTCCGGCGTGGGCGAGCGGGCTGCCATGCTCGCGCAGATCGCTGCGTCTGGCATGTTCGGCCCGACCCAGCTGCCCGCCGTGGAGTCCCTCGAGATCGACAAGCTGCGCCACGTCGTGTCGTCGCTGCCGAAATGAGAGGGGCTGGCCGCCTGGGCCCCACGGTCACCTATGGTTGGGCCGCTGCTTGCATGCCCCTGGTGCGCCGTGGGTGGTCCCAGGTAGGCCCTTCCCCGTCAGCTGGCACCACGGGTGAGCCTCTCACGGAAGCTCGGTTGGTGTGCAGGCTGGCGGGGCCGAGCGTCGTCTTCTACGTCGGCGAGCTCTATTTGCCCCGCCGTTGCGGGGGCTGGGCGGGCGCCCGAACCGCGTCGCGCGGCGTGCTCTCTCTCTCTCTCTCTCTCTCTCTCTCTCTCTCTCTCTCTCTCTCTCTCTCTCTCTCTCTCTCTCTCTCTCTCTCTCTCTCTCTCTTCCTCCTCCCCTCCTCCTCCTCCTCCTCCTCCTCCTCTCCTCCTCCCCCTCACCCTCCTCCTCCTCCCCCTCCTCCCCCTCCACAATAACTCAATATGAATACTACTCTCCTCCTTCCCCTGATGATGGGTTGGGAGTGTTCGCCCCCCCCCCCCCGCGTATTGTTTTTTACACACATGATTCCCCGGAGTTGGGTTTTCGCTTGCATTTTTTCCAAAATGCTCCTCTCGCTGAGGCGCAGGCCTCATTGTCGGGCCCCGCTCGTTCCGAATCGTGCTCCCGCTGCATCGCGGGCCTCATTTCCGTGTTTCCGCTCGTTCCGAATCGTGCTCCCGCTGCAGCGTTGGCCTCATTTCCGCGCTTCCGCTCGTTCCGAATCGTGCTCCCGCTGCAGCGCTGGCGTCATTTCTCGTGCCATGCCACGGCATGCAATGCAATGCAAGGTTGCGTTCCGCTGCGCGATGCCTTGCCTTCAGCTGAAGCTGTGATATGCAGTGCTTAAGTGCCACGTCGTGCTATGCCATGCTACGCTTTGATCTGCAACGCCATGCTATGCAATGTTATGTTCGGGGCCGCTGTGCGATGCCATGCTTTGCGTTGCAAAGCTTTGTGATGCAATTCTTCACTACGCCACGCCACGCCATGCTGTGACATACTACGCTTTGCGGTGCTATTCTACGCCATGCCATGCCGTGCTTTACAATGCATCGCGTACCCTTTCGGGATCATTGCCCTGCTCGACATCCGATTGTGCGAGGAGAGAGAGGGGATCTACGCCATGGTAAGGGATGGGAGGGAGGGGTAGGATGTCAGATATGACGCGAGCGCACCTAGCTTGCCCTCCACCTCCTCCTCCTCCTCCTCCTCCTGCCTCCTCCTCCTCCTCCTCCTCTTCCTCCTCCTCCTCCATCTCCTCCATCTCCCCCTCCCCCTCCTCCTCCCCTTCCTCCTCCTGCTCCTCCTCCTCCTCCTCCTCCTCCTCCTCCTCCTCCTCCTCCTCCTCCTCCTCCTCCTCCTCTATTCCTTCTCCTTATAGATAAGCTTTCCCTGTCGCGCCCCGAGGCCAGTTTTTAGAGCGGGCCGGGCGTGGCGGCTGAGACTTCCTCATAATTTATGATTCTGAAGCTGGAGAAAGTGGCAACAGCTTCACAGATGGAGGGCGGGTCGCTTTCAAGCTGCTCGCCTTAGCGCCTCGCACACTCACTTTGAACAGTTGCAAGAGTTTCACGGATTGATGGAGGGTCGTTTTCGAAATGTGGTTTTCGCTTTAGCGCCGCGCACATTCGTTTAACAAAGTTGTAACAGTTTCACAGAATGCCCGAAAACCACGGATCAGAGGGCAAGGAGCAACGACAGACGGGGGGTCAGGGGTGATTGCGTCAGATCGCCCGCTCACCGCCGACAGGGACCTGATAGCCCACCCCGCCCAGGAATGTGCGATTCCGCAATCGAGGGAGTATCGTCTGCGATCTATTGCGGATGCCAGCTCGATGCTTTCCACCATGAGCCGGTCCTACCCTATCGTTCCCCCGCAACGCGTGGCGAGGTCCGTGGCGCGGATTAGAACTAGACGAGCGACAACGCACCGTCGAGCGGACTCACCGCTGGAGGACCCACCGAAGTACTTATATCATTATCCTGCTCCCGCTGCGGAGACCGCCTCCCCCATCTCCCCCTTCCTCATCGTAGGGCCCTCGCTCGTAGGAGCAGTTCAACTTCCCCCAGCACAACGGCGACATATTCGCCTTTACGGACGAGGTGAACAGCCGCTTCGTCCACGGTGTGCCGAGGGAAAGGTGCGGTCCCCTCCTCCTTCTCCTCCTCCTGATCCTCCTCTTTTTTTCTGTCTCGTCCTGCTCTCCTCTTCCTCTTGCTCTTCCTTCCTCTCCTCGTCCTCATCCCTTCTTCCTTGTAATCTGATCCACTTCCTCGCCCTCCTCCTCCTTTTCGTCCTCCTCCACCTCCTCCTCCTCTGCGTCCTCCTCCTCCTCCGCGTCCTCCTCCGCCTCCTCCGCCTCCTCCTCCTCCTCCTCCTCCTCCTCCTCCTCCTCCTCCTCCTCCTCCTCCTCCTCCTCCTCCTCCTCCTCCTCCTCCCCCTCCTCCAATGTTCACCCATGCTCCCCCTCCTCCTTTTCCTCCTCCTCCCTCTGCTACTGTTCCCCCTTCTCTTCCTTCCCCCCCTTGTCCTCAGCCGCAGTCTTGTTCGGCTGCCATTGCCGCCGCCGCGCCGCTGGCCGTCTCCTTGCCCGCCTGCCTCGCGTCGCGCACCTGCAGCCTCCTCGCAAGGGGCATGGAACAGGCACGCCTCTGACGCGCAGACACACACGCACACACGCACACACGCACACACACACACACACACGCACAAACACACACACACACGCACACACACACACACAGACACACACACACACAGAGACACACAAACAACATACACAACACACACAACACACAATTCACACACAACACACACACAACACACATGCACACACCCCTATACGACCACCCTTCGGGTGATAAGGAGCTTGTGGGGGGGAGAGGGGGGGAACCAACATCTGACTCAATCGATCTCACGATCGATCTCACTCAACGGGACAGCAAGGGACACCACGGGACACTTGTCGATTTCACTATCGATCTCACTATCGATCTCACTCAACGGGACACCACGGGCCACCACGGGACAACACGGGACACCGCGGGACACCACATCGATCTCACTAACGATCTCATTATCGATCTCACTATCGATCTCACTCAACGGGACACCATCGGACACCGCGGGATACCTCGGGACACCACATCGATCTCACTATCGATCTCACTATCGATTTCATTCAGCGGGACACAACGGGACACCTGTCGATCTCTTTATCGATCTTACTATGGGTCTCACTTTTTGGAACACCACGGGACACCGCGTGGCACCACATCGATCTCACTGTCGATCTCACTATCGATCTCACTCAACGGGACACCACGGGACACCTGTCAATCTCTTTATCGATCTCACTATGGGCCTCATTTTTTGTGATACCACGGGACACATCGGGGCACCACATCGATCTCAGTATCGATCTCACTATCGATCTCACTCAACGGGACACCACGGGACACTTGTCGATCTCTTTATCGATCTCGCTATTGATTTCACTTTGGGACACCACGGGACACCTCGGGGGATCTCATTATCGATCTCACTGTCGATCTCACTGGCGATCTCATTTTTTGGGACACCACGGGACACCGGCGGGACACCGCGAGCCACTGGCCGCCGGAGGAGAATCATTTGGTCCAGCCGCGGCCCAGCTACAGGAGGATTTCGGGACACCAGCGGGACACCAGCGGGACACCGCGCGGCACTGGCCACCGGAGGAGCAACATTTGGTCCGGCCACGGGCCAGCCACGGGAGGATTTCCTCTCGCCCGCCCACGCAGCTTCGCCTCGCCCGCACGCACGCACGGCACGCACGACACGAACCCGAGACCGAAATCGATTTCCCGGTAGGGGGGGTCTCCGTTTCACGTCGGACTCACCCCCCCACCTCCGACAAACACACACAAACACACAAACACACAAACACGCAAACACGCAAACACGAAAACACACACACACACACACTGAGTACGAGTGACACCCACACACACACACGCACACACACACACACGCACACACACGCTTTTGTGGCGTCGTGGCCTCGCGCATAGCGTCCAGGCCTAGAAGGGCAGAGAGCAAGAGAGTCGCCCGCGGCCGATCCATTTAGAAGTAGGGGTAGGGATCCACCCGAAGGGACCGACCGTTCCACGCGCGCACAAATTGAAAAGACACACTCACAAACACACACACACACATTCTCACATTCACACATTCTCACATTCACACATTCACACATTCACACACGCACACGCACACGCACACGAACGCGCGCGCACACACACACACACACACGCACACGCACACGCACGCGCACGTGCACACGCACACACACACACATACAGGTAAACGTGATCATGCAAATGCGCATACACATGCACATACACGTACACATAACACATACACATACGCACACGAACCCGCACCCGCATCCGTACACAAACACACACACACAACACACACACACGCACACATTCACACACACAACATAAGCACACACACAAACACAAATACACACCACACACAACACACACACACACAACAAACACAGCTGTTTGGTCTCAAACCGTGTGACGCCGGGCCCGCGCCGCTGCTCCGCCTCGTCGGAGTGGCCCCTGCCGAATTCGCCGCGCGTGTGGACGCCAGCTGCGCAGGTGTTGCGCGGCGGGGCGCTCTGGAGGCTGCCCGCGGTGCCTTACTGGCGGCCCACGCCGCCAGCGGCCTGGCGGCGGGGGCGTCTTGTGGAGGGACGCGCCTCCTGCGAGCGGCGAAGGGCTTGCTGCGAACGGCGATCGCCGAGCTCGCCAGCACACCCCGCCGTTCGAAGCAGGCTGAGGATGTTTATCATCCTGCTGCCGCGCGTGGCGGTGCCCCCGATGATCCCGAGGCTGGCTCAGTTCCGCCAGGCGTCCCCGCGCCTAGGTGGAAGCGCCGCCGTGGACGACGTCGACCTGGTGCTGCCGCTGCAGCGGCCCACACGTAGGTGGATGGAGGCCGAGCTGCAGTTGACAAGGATCTCGACGATGCCTCCTCAGACGAGCTGCCTGTGGTGCGCGCGACGCAGGGCGGTGGTGCTGCTTGGCGGCTGCAGACGGAGGAGGCCCCAACGGTCATGCCCATGGCTGTGCGGTCAACGGAGACGGGCGCGAGCGGCGGCGGAACGGGCGCTGGAGGCGTGCGCGCGAGCCTGGACTTCGCGCAGCTGCCTGCTGCTGCTGCGCCCACCGAAGACGACGACGAGCTCATGAGCGTGAGCGTGGAGGACGTGGCTCACGCCAGGCCGCCTTCTGCACCGGTGCCGTCAACTCCCTGTGTTCTCCTCGCCGCGGGCGTGCCGGCTCGGGTCCGCGCGGGCACTTGCGAGGGGGCAGTGGCGAAGGTCTACGACGTCTACGACTTCTTCAGTCAAGGTTCTGTCGCTCTGGTTGTCTTGGAGGGCGCGGTCGGGTCCTGCAAGTTGGAGGTTTCCTCCCTGGAGCTGCTGGGCGGCGCTGGTGGATCGCCAAGCCGGTATTGGGTCCGAGGGGGCCGAGTCGGCGTGAGGCGAGAGCTCCTAGGAGAGCGGGCCGCTGAGGCGGCAGGCGGCTGCCAGGAGCGGCTGCAGGCGGCTGCTGGGGACGGCCGCGGGGGGGGGCGACTGGAGTCCAGGTGGTTGCGGTTGTCTTCGGCGGGCGGGCCGCGGGGGCCTGCTGCTTTCGGAGTCGAGCGTCTGGCCGGCCGGTGCTGGAGACATTCGGCGCTGGAGACATCCGGCCGTCGTTATCGGTGCCGCACACACAGCCGCTCCCGCGTCGAGCTTGCCGCCGCAGGGCCGCCCCCGCGCGGCTGGCCGCTGGCCTACGATGTTGGCGGCGATCGATATCCGTGCTGCACTGTCAGCAGCCCGAGGGGCTGCTTTGGCGGCGCGCAGCGGAGGGCCTTGCGGCGGGGCGCTCTGGAGGCTGCCCGCGGTGCCTTACTGGCGGCCCACGCCGCCAGCGGCCTGGCGGCGGGGGCGTCTTGTGGAGGGACGCGCCTCCTGCGAGCGGCGAAGGGCTTGCTGCGAGCGGCGATCGCCGAGCTCGCCAGCACACCCCGCCGTTCGAAGCAGGCTGAGGATGTTTATCATCCTGCTGCCGCGCGTGGCGGTGCCCCCGATGATCCCGAGGCTGGCTCAGTTCCGCCAGGCGTCCCCGCGCCTAGGTGGAAGCGCCGCCGTGGACGACGTCGACCTGGTGCTGCCGCTGCAGCGGCCCACACGTAGGTGGATGGAGGCCGAGCTGCAGTTGACAAGGATCTCGACGATGCCTCCTCAGACGAGCTGCCTGTGGTGCGCGCGACGCAGGGCGGTGGTGTTGCTTGGCGGCTGCAGACGGAGGAGGCCCCAACGGTCATGCCCATGGCTGTGCGGTCAACGGAGACGGGCGCGAGCGGCGGCGGAACGGGCGCTGGAGGCGTGCGCGCGAGCCTGGACTTCGCGCAGCTGCCTGCTGCTGCTGCGCCCACCGAAGACGACGACGAGCTCATGAGCGTGAGCGTGGAGGACGTGGCTCACGCCAGGCCGCCTTCTGCACCGGTGCCGTCAACTCCCTGTGTTCTCCTCGCCGCGGGCGTGCCGGCTCGGGTCCGCGCGGGCACTTGCGAGGGGGCAGTGGCGAAGGTCTACGACGTCTACGACTTCTTCAGTCAAGGTTCTGTCGCTCTGGTTGTCTTGGAGGGCGCGGTCGGGTCCTGCAAGTTGGAGGTTTCCTCCCTGGAGCTGCTGGGCGGCGCTGGTGGATCGCCAAGCCGGTATTGGGTCCGAGGGGGCCGAGTCGGCGTGAGGCGAGAGCTCCTAGGAGAGCGGGCCGCTGAGGCGGCAGGCGGCTGCCAGGAGCGGCTGCAGGCGGCTGCTGGGGACGGCCGCGGGGGGGGGCGACTGGAGTCCAGGTGGTTGCGGTTGTCTTCGGCGGGCGGGCCGCGGGGGCCTGCTGCTTTCGGAGTCGAGCGTCTGGCCGGCCGGTGCTGGAGACATTCGGCGCTGGAGACATCCGGCCGTCGTTATCGGTGCCGCACACACAGCCGCTCCCGCGTCGAGCTTGCCGCCGCAGGGCCGCCCCCGCGCGGCTGGCCGCTGGCCTACGATGTTGGCGGCGATCGATATCCGTGCTGCACTGTCAGCAG